TTTTAAAAGGTCCTAAATTTTAAGGTTAAAAAGTGATATTTTATAAACGTGTATATTTCTATTAAAAACAAAATTTTTAAAACATTGTTAAGTTTATATAAAATATTGTGGTAAAAATCGCATCATGTAAGCCCACCTTAAAAGTAATTACCTGATCGTAAAAACACATCGTCTACAATTCACAAATCACAACTCAAATTGTCTACCCTCGTATATTTAAAAGTTTGCTTTATGTTATTTTAACCTCGCAATGCACTGAACTGTAAGTATTTTATATAATAAGCTATGTATATTCTCATAAGTGATTGTATATATAATCTTCGAGAATAAATTCTTTAAACCTAAAAACCTAAATAATATCTCTTCTAAGCAAGTTAGGTGAAATAAGGAAAATTAGTAATAAAAGTATGCGTGACAACAAACAAAAGGTACTTACTTATAATATCGATAATTTAAAATGAGCTCAATCTAAAATAAATTAATAACTTACTTAATTAAAGACGAATAGTAGGAATATCATTATTTACTTTTATTTCGTTTTATAATTATATTATTTATATACCTACGTCATTCGTTTCACGGAAACCGAACCTTGAACTACCTAGCTCTTCAATGCTCGATTCGTTTATTTCTAACAGACAAACATACATAGAATCACCTCGTATGCTACATATGTTTTATATTAATGTGTTTCCAGTTCCGCAAACGTGTCCAAGATAACTGTGTCCAGTATTCAATTGTCGCGAACGAATTCATTTCACAAACTCATCTTACGAACATGTTGGGAGGCAGACGGTGGACCGTAGATTACATCGCGTAGTATGGAAGCGACAATATTTAACATTATCATAGAGACATGTTTATTTTAAAACATTCTAGAAATAATGTTAGTAGCAGCGTTATTTTTCTACTTTACAAAACTGTGTATAACGATTGCCATCAGAGTAAAAAATTTGCAACGTTTTTATATTGTGTGTAGTAAACTCGAGTAATACACAGTTTAAAACTCGAAACGTATAAGTTAACTTACGCCCCTCGTGGTTAAAATAAGATGTACATAAGTTAAAATATATATCGCGTTTTAAACTGTTAAGTGTTGTATTAAAACTCATGTATCTATGCATAAGTTTATAATAATTGCTACCACCTTGAAAAGCTAGAACGCTAGAATCTTACAAATTGATACATAATTTTATTCCGGCAAGATGTTTTAGTACTAAAACTAGCCCTACGTAATACGTGAGTTAAACAGATACATAATAAATTAAACATGAACATGACATGACTAGTTTACCACAGATTATACAATATATAATACATATAGCAATGAATGGTGATATATGAAAATTGAATTTATCAAAAATAGTAAAGTACCAAATTAGGGTCTTCTCATATTAAAGTTTCCCCTTTCAACTAATAAAATAAAATGATCGTCAGCCAAAGCGTGTCCGTTCTAGATTCATCTATTCAGTGTTAGCGACGGCGACGCGTGTCCGGAAGCGTCACGGCCGCGTGAAGACCGGAAATGGCCAGGATGACCGGATCCTATCTCCGCTTGCCTACCTGCCGCCATGTTGTGACGTCACTCACGCTCCTACTCAGAGATCGCTGATAGATTTTGGACGTCCGAAGCGATAATTAATTTATATTTGTGATGAATTACATAGTTATACGTAATCTATTTTATAATTTCATCTGCTTTTGTTACAAAATAGTTAGATTTAGTCTAATCTTACTATTACTTAAAAGGATATATTTTGTATTTAAACTTAAGACATTTATAGGGGAGAATTATTATTTAAATATTATCTGTATTTTGTTTTGCTCTCTTCAACCAGTCAAATATTCATTTCATTTCGCAACGACAAAAAATTTTCAGTACACTCTCTACCGTCGCACAGTTATAAGGAGTACCGAATAAACGAGACACAGTATCTATAATAGTTAGTTATCATTTGCATATTTTTTGTATATTATGTTAAGATGTATATTATTCTTAAAAAGGCATGTGTTATATAGATGTTATGTAATGCAAATAATATTGTAATACTGAGTTTAATTAATTTTTATCTACAATTAAAATAAGTAGTATCGTGTGATATGTGAGAGACGTATACGACACAATTGCTCAATTGGTTAAAACAGCATAGACCGCTGTGTATTCCGATTCAAGTCCTGCTCATGTCGTAATTTTTTTCAATCTAACATCGATTTCTAATTAATGTCTATGATAATTATCGAATACATTTTGCGTTTTAAACAGTTCTAAATTTATAAATGATACTCTTACTAATTTTGGAGAAACGATTCAGTACATACTAGATGTTGAAACACCACGTGGACTTACAAAACATCATGAGAAGCTGAACATCACGACGCGTTTTAAGAAAGCACTCAGCGCTCAATCGAATGAATGCGCGCGTAAGAAGCTTACATTTTCCAGGTAGAATTCCAAGATTTTAAAAATCCCCTAAGCTAGGCTCCATTCCGAGACGGTTTGGAGGCAGCATCCACCAGTTATCATTGCGAGAGTATATAATTGTTGGCAATTTTATGTCTCCATTCAACCCATGAATAGCAACCATTAGACGAAGCACTTACTGCGCCCTCCCCGGCTAATAAGTGCATTCGCTTTACAGGACTCCTTAGTGCCATTTACCTTCGTAGTTTTTAAAAATGCCCGCAGAAACCATTGCGCACAAGCCAAATTGTTGTACGGATAATTGATGCCATTAAGCATTTTGTCGCTTGAGTTATTAATAAAGTGAGCGCTGAAAGAGTCGCGCTGGTCCCAATTATATTGTTTAGGGACCTAAACATATTACGAAACTATTCATTTAAAACAGCGCTTCTTCGTCTAATTCGATATTAAGGTCTCGTTTTAGTTATGCATATTAATATAAAAATATGCTTTTACGTCTATTAAATATGTTCACAATATGAAAATATTTTTTATCGAAAATGAAGGATTTCCATTTTTACAATATTGTAAAAAAATTTAGTGAAGCATACTCTTAATTTAAATAAAACACTTTAATGATTTAAAACGCGATACACGTTAGTTAATCTTGTTTGAAAATTCGGATGCTTTGCAGCATCCGTGGTCACGGGGAGACTATCTACTAGTTCAAACAAGTACTACTAGCATAAACTACTGATAACGGTTTCTAGGCGAGCTTTTGTAATTTTACGAGGAAATTTCGAAAATGACAAAACAATTAGTTCTTTACTAAATCGTGCGTATATCTGGCGTAGTATAATTATTATATTTAAATGTAACTAGTTCTGTTATTAGGACGTGGCCATTTGTCCGTCACCAATTGCAACGATGGCAACGATTAAGAAGGTGTGTTCTTGTAATTGTTATCTCGTGTGCCGCCCAACGGTTGTGGCTTTCTGGGTTTTCTCATTCGTACGCCAGCTGCCACGGCAATGCAGCCTTCATATTTACCGTATCAATAATTACAGTAATCAGACCTCACATTCTGTAACAATGGTTATCCCCACTTTCAAGTAAATACGAGTAATCCTTCGAAATATTAATTCGCTTTCGACGTTTCGAGAAAGTGGGGTGATTTAACATATAGACTACGCTAACTTTACCAACATAAAACCTTTTAGGAGTATATGACAACATTTCATAAAAAAAACTAAGCATGTGTTATAATATTACTTGACAAGTCTGTATCTATATCCTCTCAGCGAAATAGTCAAATCATTATTTTAAAAATCACAAATAAATTGAAAAAAATTTCGACTCGGGCAGGACTTGAACCGGCATCGTCAGCATTCCGTGCTGTTGCTCTACCAATGGACGCTACCGCGTCCTACACCTCATCGTCGAATTTCAACTTATTGATACATGCACCTCTCGCGCAATATTGAACTTATTTACTTTTCTATGTATATGCAAAAACATTGCTTTTTTATTGTATGGAATATTTTCTATACAATAAAAATGTACAGACACATTTAATAAAATTACTTAAAACTGGTGATGATGACAAACCCTCAAATGTTACAGCACACACAGATATCTATTTGACAGAATAGTCGACACTTACTTAAATACCTCGTGTTTTCTCTGTGGACGCGCATATCTTCCACCATTCGGTTACCATCGGCACGGTTCTTATCATCGCATCAAAATTCATGATAAATTACAGTCATATAAAGTATGAATCCTTGAAATAACGTAAAATTAATTAAGAAATTTTCTAACTAGTAGTAGACGTAGGTACTTCATAAGGTAGATGTCGTAGAGTGGGTTTATGAAACGGGGCGTGGATTCGACTTTATTGAATAACTATTATGTTATTTAATAAAACCGTGTACCAGTCTTAAAAAACTTTTATATATAATATCATAAAGAAGTCTTTTCCATGAAATTGCGAGTGGTTAATGTATCAATTACTTGACAATAAAACGTACTCAAATTATAAGAATCATTACCATCTTACATGTCGTTTCACTGCGTTCGTACTTAATTGGCGCTCGTACAGAATTTGAAGGAGTTAAATCACATCTTCCATCATTTCAATAGGCGCTATGGCTGACAATGGCTTCAAGTAAGTCACGACTTAGTCCCGCGGCCGGCCACCTGTGCTCCCGTACTGAAAATGTTGCATTTTGTCGAAAAATTTCAACTCATTAGGTAGTCATTAAGTGAACACGCCACAGTCGTGCACGGCGGCGACTCTTGCGCATAATATCGGAATTCTGGGATCGCTGTTTGGTTTTCAATGGAGGATATTAATTTCCATTCGACGTCTGACTGATCTTACGTAAGTGTTGAGTGTGGGTAATTTACGACGTATCGTTTTTTAGCTGGAGCACAGGGTAATAAGAACAGTAAGAACAAAATGCAACAGACTGAGTTTTTCTTGGTTTTTAATAAATGAATTACGGTTTTAGGAAAAGTATAAAATCTTACTGACTTTAATTTATTCTGTGGCGCTATATTGTAAGGATTAAAAAACACAGACATATTGCCGCATATCTTAGAGTAAAGTTACACAATCGGGTATATTTATATCTGGACGAGTATTTTCGTGATAGTCTTCCGTATTCCTGTATTGTTTTTCCTCTAGCTTCACCACCTCGCTTCTGACTAGCATCACGACATAGAATTGTAAACCTAAAAAAATAAATATATCCCTATATTTGCCATGACCTATAAGGAGACCTTAAAATAAAACACTTTAACGGTTTAAAACGCGATATATGTTAGTTAAACTTATTATAATTCCTTTCGTCCCGAGGTTCCTTCAGTCTCCCCCTGACCACGGCTGCTGCAAAGCATCCGAAACGTCGGGCCGAAGTTAAAAATAATTTTCAAATAAGTTTAACTAATATATATCGCGCTTTAAACAGTTAAAGTGTTTTATTTAAATGTGTACTACTCGCGTAAACTACAGCCGCCCATGGCCTCAACATTTTCGGTGAGAGAAGGTTTTCTAAAGAAAATAAAACGTACCGTCTGCAAAAAAATTCAATAACATATTTATAAAAAAAACAGAATTAATGAAATTAATGTGAAAAGCATGCATTTTTTGCCATGTCTACTTTTAGGGCGTAGAGGTGTACAGACAACCATTGGGTAAGGTCTGACATCTAAACAAGATGCTCTGTATCTCTCTGCTGATCTATATCTCTCTGGCTTTGAAAATTCGTAGATCAAAACTGAAACACGATTAAATTTTCACGGCGTTGTCATGTGTCGATGATGGTACGGGACAGAACGCAGTGTCGATATTCCTACCGCCCATTAAATATCCAGATTTCCAGACGTAGTTGCAACATGTTTCAGAAAAAGTATATTTTTTTAGAAACATGTTAGGTGGGGACATAACACCAACGAATTCGTTGAAGCTTGCTATGTTTATGAGTACATAATATATATGACACAATACTAATGTCCGAATACAATAATATAAATACCTAACGCCAAGAAGGAGGTCGTAGAGTCGATATACATTCGTCTTGATAGGAGGAAAAATGTCGGAACAAGTGCGGCCAGAGACGTGGCTACAGCATAGTAGTTGTAAAGACGAAGCATAGATATGTCTTTCTGTAACACATAAACATATATAAAGTAGGTATCTTTATTAGCGTTGCTCTAGTGGTTAGTGCACTCACGGATGAAAATGTATTGGGTTCGAATTCCTTGTCGCACTTAAATGAGGATTTACTAGCTTGGAGTTTTCTGAAGAGCACGTTAAGGCTACGGTTATCATCACAAATTTCATGGGGCGTAAAGCCCACCAAGCCAGATTGGAAATGCTTGGTCGGTCTAAACAGGTAAACACCCTAACAGGAGGGGAGTGCTGTATCCTAATTTCGATGTATACTTTATGCAAGCTTTAATTTCAGCTCTAATATAGGTTATTAAACCAATAGGCATCGAACCCAAAAACTTTTAGTGAGAACCTATCGTCACTGTGATTGATAAATATGTAAAAAACTTTATTTAAACTTTTTTATTATTTTACCTGATAGGCCGCAACTAGAAGTAAAATATTAAGTATGAGCCCCATTCCTAGAATGCTGTACAAGATGGTGGAGGTCAGGACCTCGACAGAGGAATCTCTGGTTATTGATATCTTCTGCTGCTCGGTGCTGATAAACAGACATGTCACGGCGATGGCTAAAAATATCTGATAAGGAATAATGTATTGATGATACAGAAATAGAAGAACTTAAATGAAAGGTTGAGATTACTGAGTAAGTTATAATCTTAAATACTATAGTCATGTATGTAGTGTCTAATGCAACATAACTGATATCGTTAGCTTTAGAAAAAAATACAATATCAAACACATGTAAAAATTGCCGCGTCTAAGCCATAGTGAAGGCATGAAGTTGATATACCTATATATAAAAACATTAGGATAGGTTACTTGTTATTACATAGAAGAACAGACAAATGTTTGTTTGGCTTGAAAGGTCAAATACCCTGGGTACATATAACATCTAAACAAGATGTTCAACCTCTTTAGACTTCAGGAAACAACAAACTAAGATCGAAACACGTTTTAGAAACGCTTAAATACTTACAATATTGATATAAGCAAAAATAATAATACCCGGGCGCAGAGGTACACAAAAACAACACCTATTAACTTCTGCGATTTTCATTTTCGATTTATTAATTCAATAATAAAATCACTGCACTCGCAATTTAATGTTTCGCAGAATTAATAGTGATTACGCAAATAAGTAACTTATTAAAACCCCGCGTTTAACAACTATACGATAAGCGGGGTGTGTTGTTGCAAAATGACATTTATTGCAATGAGTTAAGTGTCATATTAGTAGCTTGGGTGATAATAAAATAAGATGACTTGTGGCATCATAAATATGCACCCTCACAAATAACTTTCAACAAAAATATGATAAACGTGCACAGTTCGTTGACACTGAGTGCTGTGCGCAATCTTGAAATTGTATCAATTAAAATTCTCAGAATATTAATCCCTAGACTACCAATACGTTACGTACTAACTAGTCATAAAACTAAAAATATGCGAAAAGTACTAACTCTAAATAATAATAAATTATTAGAAATGCTACAATGAACTACTCTGACTGTGTTTAGATTTCGACCGAGCTTAGCTTTTGGGGATGAAACCATATTTTTTACACTTGCTCAAAATCGATGCTGTAGTAAGTACCTCTCTTTCCTATGATGCAGATTTTAATAATCACATATTCTTTTAATGACATAGTTGTAAGTAGTAAAAAAAATACAAAAGGTATGCCGTAACTGTTTTTCGTTTAAAATTAATTTCTAACATGCAATATTAATTAAGTATGGACTAAATAGGTTTTTTACTGAATGTCGTTGTTTTTCCGACTAGACGGTATCTCTTAGTTATTCGAAATCCCACCTATAACCTAAACGACTTGTGTGGGAAAATTTTCTTGAGACAATCAATTCATTACGACAATAACTTAATCCAATAATAAGCGATAGTCTCGTCAGGTTTAATAATTTACTTATTAGTGTTATTGCATAATTGAGCCACCCAGCTTTAGACCCTCGACAAACTCGCAGTCAGCTTATTATCATTTTTAGTATCTCACTAGAGTTACATAATTGCAATGTGGACAAAATAAGATTTTTTTTTTATTTTCGGCTATTATATGCAATGTGTGTGTGTGTTAAATAGCTTGTTTTTCAATAGTCTCTTCGTGTTGAAATCGGCGTAAATTCAAATTATATAATTTTCAATTTAATGTTTGTTTTTAAGTAAAATCACTTTAAAAAATGAGTGCAAAGGCAAGTCTTAACCGCAATCGTTCTATATAGTCTATTTTACCAATTTTGATTATAGTATCATCTGTGCGCAATTTTCTGGCATTCGAAGAGAAACTGGCAACACACCTATAAACTGTTCCTCAATTTTAGTGATTCTTACGTGATTATTTTTCTGTGTTTTTTTATATAAGAAAAAGGCAATTGCATACTTAAAACTTTCTTCTTACAACCTCAGGTGTGAAGTAATAAAGGTAAGCAGGAATTTAGATAGTATTATTGGCAAAAGTTTTTCACATCTCAGTTTGAGGTTATGTTACGGTAAAGGGTAAAAATTTCTTATTAAAATACTCATAAAACTGACACTGTAGCAGGAAATAAAGCGGCTTTTTCAGTTTACTGTTGCTTTACATATTTAGTTCGCCCTAACATATTATATTGTCATTATATGGACGACTGTTATTCACTTACAATGCTATCGGTGTCTTTGAATGGAACAAAGTCCCATTTTAGCTTTGGACTTTTTTTATAATAATCACTATATTAATATGTCAATCTGTCACATTTATTCAAGTTATTTTAGAACAACTTTTAATTTGGACCCTTTGCTTATCGAGAACCCACGTTACTATCTATACGCTTAATATTTATGTAAATTGCAGAATGGCAGCGCAACTGTTCAATCGTATTGGCCAACTCGGTTTGGGAGTAGCTTTGGTTGGAGGTGTTGTAAATTCAGCTTTATATAACGGTATGTATGATAAACCACAAACTTTAATTGTTTAGTATAAAACACCTCTAAGAAATAGTCTACAAGAAAACCCAATCCTGTGTTCAAAAGACCGAAGTTTTTAGATTTACGCTTTATGAAGACCATTTTTATTTTCCAGTGGATGGTGGGCACAGGGCAGTAATATTTGACAGATTTGCTGGTGTCAAAAATTTGGTGGTTGGTGAGGGCACTCACTTTTTCGTTCCTTGGGTGCAGAGACCGATTGTGTTTGACATAAGGTCAAGACCTCGTAATGTGCCAACTGTTACAGGAAGCAAAGGTATATTTATACTAAAATACTAGACTCAAATTCTAAAAGCTTTATAACTTGTTAATATATTATGATTTATTAGATAAGACAGAAGTAAGGGGTAATGTTTATTTTGTCACAAGACCGCCTAGTTATCTTGGCATACCATACCATGAAACATATATTTACCTTTAATAATCCACTTTGGTTTATATAGTAATTATTTAAAATTATTATGCAATTTAAAAATATATATATTTTCAGTGTGTCTATTGCTATTATGAAATTGTGATGTTATCTATTGATTCTCATTTCATTTCAGATCTTCAAAATGTGAACATCACCCTTCGTATTCTATTTAGACCAGTGCCTGATCAACTCCCAAAGATCTACACAATTCTTGGCATTGACTACGATGAAAGAGTGCTGCCATCTATTACAGCTGAAGTATTGAAGGCTGTTGTAGCTCAATTTGATGCTGGAGAGTTAATTACACAGAGAGAGGTAACATTTTATTTCCTATTGCATATTCATTATCAAATGTACTCTCCTGGTTAACAGTTAAAATTATTTAGATTATTCAATGGACATTCTTTAAATAATTTATATCTCTACACATTTTCATTTTATTATAGTTAATATGCACTTAAATGATATTATTTTCTTCAGATTGTTTCACAAAAAGTGAACGAAAGCTTAACAGAGAGAGCAGCCCAGTTCGGTTTGATCTTAGATGATATTTCAATCACACATTTGACATTTGGTAAAGAGTTCACCCAGGCTGTAGAATTGAAGCAAGTCGCACAGCAAGAAGCTGAAAAGGCGAGATTCTTAGTAGAAAAGGCTGAACAACAAAAGAAAGCTGCCATTATTTCGGCCGAGGGAGATGCTCAAGCTGCGGTTCTGTTAGCTAAGTCTTTCGGAAGCGCTGGCGAAGGTCTCGTTGAGCTCAGACGTATAGAGGCCGCAGAAGATATCGCCTACCAACTATCCAAATCGCGCAACATCACCTACTTACCTCAAGGACAGAATGTTCTTTTAAACCTTCCGACACAAAACTAAGATATTGAATTTATTTGTACAATAAGATGTGGTTGATAACAATTGCATTTGTAATTAATATATGTTAAGAAAACTGCATTTTGGAGTTGTGGTTCCCACAATAGACTGTAGTTATGTATTAGCTTTACAAAAATTATAATTACGCAATAAACTATTTGTTGTTAAATACTCACATTTTTATTTGTGTCATTGGCATAGAAAGCTTGTTATAATATTATCTGAGTCCACCCAAAAAACAAATTAAAAAATGCAAATTTCTTGAAAATTAATCTTTATATTGTATAGTTTACATGAATTTTATACAGTCTTTTTCCTCATATACTCCTCTCTCATCTTTATCTAGTAAATAGTTGTCTTGGATTTTATTGAAAAACAAGTTCTCCCTAATACAAGTCCCTTTAATATAGTCAATTTCCTTTTGGTTCATTCCCGATGGCAAAGTCAATTTACATATATTCAGATTTCTCTTGAAATTCTTGATCAGATTGTCCACTTCATTCTTGAAATTGTCATCTATTATATTAACTTGTGTTGGTATTAGGTGTTTCATACTGTAAGTTTTACTTGTCTCGTCTAATAATTCTAACTCAACTTTAATCTCTTTATTATCCGGACTTAACTTTATTGCCCTATTCAGTTTCTTCCGTGCCTCCTCAAATTGCCCAATCATTCTTAATGCTTTGGCGTTTTGATATAACACTTTGCTGCTATTCCATAAATTACCAAGTCTATGTAATTCATTGCAAGAAGTACAAGCTTTTAATGGTTGTTTTGTGCCATTGTAACATATAGCTAAGTTAGTATACAATTTGATGAGTAATTTTTGCTGAGCGAGTTCCTCTTCTTCATTTGCTAGCCGGCACTTATGGAGCATATTAACACCTTTCCGAAAAATTTGAATTGCAGCATTGTAATTGTTTAATTTATAGAATGTCACTCCTGACCCATACATCGTTCTGACTTCATTGTGGACCCTCTTGAAAGAATTGGGCTCGGAATAATCTAGTGGCCTGAAATAAATAAATTGTCTAATTACTCTAATGAAAAGAGAAGCAGGACCTTGAAGCTTGTTAAAAAAGAAAAAATATTCCAACAACATCCTACAGACAGTCCTTTGTGACAGTGTACTATGATTTTAGTACTCTGAATACCAATGTATTTAACACACAAATCAAATACTGGATGGATTTTTGATGTAATTGGTCAAAACCTTTTCAGTAACTTGCCACTGTAAAGAATAAACTCTATCCCATATAAACTTACCCTTCAGCAGGTGTTAAGATACTTTTAATCAGTTTCACATAGAAGACGCATTTGGCTCTTGGTTTTATTCTTGGTGGTACACCTAGTTCACCATAAGCAACTTCATGAGAAAGGAGAAATACTGCAGTTTCGCCGACTAGCATTGATTTCACAGCCATCAATAACCCAGGGAGTAAACCATTATCTTTCAAATTTATAATCTGTAAAATTAATTGTATTATTAATTTAAGATTATTATTTCCTGTGCTGTAAATAGTTTAAGTGGTTGTAAATAGAATGAATGAATACAATATAATTGTGTCAATACACAATTATATATGCCCGTCCCAAGGCCCAGGTATAAGGAACAATTAATTAACATACAGCTTAAAAAAAATAACTATTTTCATATAAGGTATTCAGGTTTCATGTAAGTCTGATATTGAAATAAGACACAGTTATCTGTATAAATCCTATTTACCAGAGGTTTATTAGAAGCCCAGCTATCAAATGGCTCCATCTCATTCTCCCAGTATCCAGAATATATTATAGATACAGTACATCCATCATCTAAAGGCAGGCCTCCACCGTCTTCTATAATTTTTTTCTTGACATAACCATTCTTGTCTAGAGGTAGTAATTCTTGTTCCAACTCTGCAAATGATTGCAGAGGTTTCCCAAATGTATCAAATTGATCGTTCTTAATATTCTCTTGTGTAGGTAGCTCATTATCAAACTCATTGTAATCTATATTGATATTTAATATTGAACTGGATGTGACTAACTGTCTGAAATAAATAATGTACAGTCCAAAATTTATACGTTTGTAACATTATGGTGAATCCTGCAGTTACTAATTACAGTTGCATATTTTAAATATTCAACAAGAATCACTCTTATTTTACAATATAAACAAACCTTAAGTCAAGTCCATCATCTAAAGCTAGAGTTGAGCTCTGCTCTTCCATTATATGCCGAGAAATAGGTAGAATTGTAATTATTTGGATATATTCAATTTCTTAAAATTTGAATTTCGAAAAAATTACAATTTTGTTTGTCAATAACGAAATATGTAGATGTGTGACATATCACATACGCCATACTTCAAACTCAACAGAAAACATGACGATTCGACACAATCGTGTCAAGTGTCCAGAGATGACAAATAGAGTATAATTATTTACTATCTATATCTATACTAATATATAAAGCTGAAGAGTTTGTTTGTTTGAACGCGCTAATCTCAGGAAGTACAGGTTTGAATTGTAAAATTTTTGGAGGAAGGTCATGGGCAATTTAATTTATAACACATTGCTATGTGACTAATAGGAGCGAAGATACAGCGAGAAATGTGAACAAAACGGGGGAAATTCTTTATCTCTGTAGGTTTCAGATGCGTACACTGCGAAAACGGTTCAAGATACCTAAAAATAGTGTAGGAAAGAATGATTCCCCTTTAAATGATCTAAAAAGAAGTCCTCGACGCTACATGTCTATCTTTTAAGATTAACTTGCAAGAACGACGGGATACGAATATCGTGGGTAACAGCTACACTAATATTATAAAGAGGAAAGATTTGTATTTTTGTATGTAACGGATAAACTCAAAAAGTACTGGACCAATTTAATAATTATTTCGATTTTAAATTAATTTTTCATTAGACAGCTACATTATCATTGAGTAAAATAGACTATACTAGATTACGATAGAAATTTCTATTAAAAGCAAAGGGAGGTATAAAAAAATTGCCATAAAATGTCTTTCTCCGCAAACGCTGCGAAGAGTAATAGAGATAAACTGAGAAACTACTCAATTGATTGAAATGAAATTAAAAAATCGAAAATAAATTGAAAAATTTTTCGGACCAAATCGGGTTTGAAAAAAATTAAAAAAAAGAGATGAAAGTTTGTATGGAAATTCGTAGGTTTTGAAGCTAGAACAATGAAACCTTCTTCTTTAGCTTCTTTGGAGTGTGAGTGGAAGTGCGAGGGGGAGTGGGAGTGAGTTAGAGTAGGAGAGATGTGATGTGAGAGTGTTGCGGCAAAGTATCACTTACAACATAGATTGGCTGCCCTAAATGCGCCCTTACATAAATTAATAAACAGCCTAAATAATTAAAAATTCTACCACAAGTCACTATTCGACGCGGACGACGTCGCGAGTACAGCTATTATGCTATAGTCGTAATCGTTGACTTTATATGCGGTATATTGGGTAAATATGCATGAGATAAATTCCACAATACAGGGAAAAAATAAATGAAGGGAAAATTAGTTTGTTAACTTTAGTATAGTAAATGTTAATCTAACGTACCCGTATATAAATTATAATATAACGTTTACTATTATAATAGGTTTAAAAACGAAGTTAAAAATTCTCATGTATCACCTACAGCATTTTCGTAGGGCACGCAACGGAAGCTCTAAATGATAAATGATTTCTCCTGTTTTTTCCACATTTCGCTCTATTTTTTCTTTTCAGAGAATATTATTTTAATTCGAACCAGTAGTTACTGAGATTTAAAGATAGAGCCTTCAAATTAACAAACAAAATCTCCAGCTTTATAGATTAGTACCTATTACTTTGGTAAAAAATTAAACCATTTGGTATTTCAATTATGTCATTTCTTATCTGATCTCTTTACACTACTATATATATGATAAATAACAATTTCATTTTTATTTACTGAACGAAGGTAATTATAAATTTTGTGTTCTTTGTTTCACCGATTCACGTAAAACGGCAATGTACGATGATATGAGGTCGTCCATCTTATAGCCTAATGAAGTTTCGCAGAGTATTTTCGTTCCACGCATAAAACTGCCCATGGTCATGTGGAAAAATGTGTTACCCGACGACCAGTTCGATATTTGCGAAAATGGATACGTCACTAACACATCCTGAAACAAAAATACATAAATTGATTTATCCATGTTACGTGGAAATTGATAAGTCCGGGTAATTTTAATAATGTCTACCGACTAAATGGGCAACACTCTATATTGGGAAAAGTATAATAGAGTTTTTAAGATGATTAAGTTTGAAAATTAGTAAAATCTACAGAAATATCTTACTATGTAAAAAAGTTATAAATAAGTAAAGTTCAGAATTATTTACACAAAAGATGAAATCTCACTTTTTACATGGGCCGTCAAGCGTTATTAATAATAGCCGGTACTTATTAATAATGTCCAATTAATCATGTTGCCCATAACCTACAGCTAAAGATACATAGACACTATTTACATATACATATACTCCTACTTAATTATTTTAGTCCTGCACTGTTTTTTACAAGACAGTGAAGGAAAAAATAAATGTTAGTTATAAATCCAGGTTTAAACCCCCCCCTCCCCCCCCCTTTTAATGCATAATTTGTTATCTAAAAACTTACCCTAGTCTGTGGGTGAATCACGCTGACTCCTTGTCTATTTATACCAACGACAACCATTTCCGGATATGACGGATCTGAAGTTTGTTTTACTTCAAAGAAAGCAGTACCAAATGTTGGGTACTGGTAGATTTTCTTTAGGAACTGCTCCTTCGCTTCATTATCTGTCATAGCCCCGTGTTTCATGTACGCAGCGGCTATAGAAGATTTCCATTGTGAATTTGACATTATTCTAGCCATATCCGGCGGTATGAGCTCTTCCAACATTTGTGGTGTTTGGGGCAAAAGGGTTTGGTCGTTGCCAAACCTCGCCCTGTAAACGAGCGCAGCTAGTTCTACTAAATCTTGTTTGGACGTCTTATGGTATCCGCGCAGGTATTTCGGTAGCTCTTGGGGGAAGTAAAAAATATCATCTGCGTTCTTGTCCCTCCCGGGCACGGTGTTAATCCATAACTTTTTCATGAAGAATATTTGGTAATTCATTTGTAATTGCCCACCTATAATATAAATTTCGGTATTAATATTATATTTAGATAACAAAATTAGTTTGATCCATTTTCAACTTTGAAACACCACATAGTGTTTCCTATTTGACTTTTATTAGCCAAATTTAAATGTTATGTTATGTTTATAATACTTCTTTCTCTATTCATCTATGTGTATAACAAACTACCTCCTAGCTCGATAGATAAACATATCGCCTAGCATTAAGCAGAAGATGTATTTGGTTTCAATCCTGGGGAAACAAATTGTTTTGGTTACGACCATGTTATATGAAACTTAGCTACCTACCTAACCTAATACATTTATGTTTTTGTGCGTAATATAGTTATTAACAATGTAATAATACCTGCGGTACGTGCTGGCCGCGTTTGCTTCATCCACTCCACAAGTTCATGGATGAAATCAAAGAAGTAATAATTCTCCGGTACGGAAAACACCTTGTCCACAATCTTCACAAACAGGCTAAATCCATCGCTGTTCCTCAAATTCAACCGCCCAGTGATCTGCTCGCATAGATCCTTCGCCTTCGTAGACGAGTCGACCTCGAACGCTTCATCTGTGTCATCTGGGAAGTATACCTTGTGGTATATCTGCATACTTCTGTGCTGTATCGCCTCCACTTCCACAACGTATGGCGCGTACATCCTCGGTCCGCCTCTTTGCATTTTGAACACACGTTTCAAGCAGTCCTTCGCTATCGGATGCGGTCGTGTCTTGAGGAATTCAACTAATTCCTTTATAAGAGTCTGTCCACACGCAAATACACCAGTCGCAAGCCACATCAGCTCCCATCCTCTTTCTTCGCTTAACTGAATTCTATTGTTCGTCAATTGTTTCATTATTTGACAGTAGACTTCGTCGCGTAAAGTGAAATCTTTTAGCGCCGGTCTGAATATTTCATCTGTATATTCCGTGGTGGACCTCGCTTTTGGCGTCGGCATGTCGCCCATGTATTTCAATATGGCGAAGAATGTTGCTACTGCGACCTTGCAAAGCTTTTCGTCGTCTAATAACTTCTTTAGTAGCGGTAGACGCAACGGTTCCCTCGTGTGGGCCCACAGATCACCCATTACTGATTTCTTAGCGGAAGTGATGGTGGATTGTTTCGAAATTGTGGCCTGTATATCATAGTTCTCCCTGAAGTGTTCCTTTGCGTACTTCTCTAACGTATACATTCTCTTTCTCTGTAACGTATTATACTTAGATGTAACTTTCTTGTCATTAATGTTACCCTTCTTGAACACTTCCAAAGTGGAAGTAGGCGGTAATGAGAGGGTAGGCAATATGTAAACTTGTTCCGTAGGGAATAAGCCCTCTTTTCCATTGCACAATCCGTGACCCCACGTGGCATTCATGAGAGTATCTCCATTGAATTCTTGTAAGAGAGTGATAAGATCGCCCTTCTTGTACTGCAAGAATGAGGCAGCATCACTAAATCCTTGAGAATCACTCTGAGCAATTACGTAAACTGATCTACGCTTTAGGCCATCTATCAAATATATTATTAAAGAGCTCATTTCGCTCGCTTCCACGCTCTGAAAAACAAATTCTTCCTGTTGTATAGTCTTTATTGTTACTCTTCCTAGGTTTTCGAAATCCTTGTCTTCACTGTACGCAACATAGGTGACTTCAGGATACGACATCTCGAGAAGAATGTGCTCAGCTTGATCGACTATGTATATTCCAGTCCAATTTATAGCTATGATGACGATGTCTTTGTTTATGGATTCACCTTTTAATTTAACAGCTTCGAAGAATCTGGAGAACATCATGGGCCATTTGATTTTAGCAAATATGACGATATCTTCTTTGCATCGGAGTGGGTCTGTTCTGGATTGTATGCTGTTCGAGGTCTCAAATGCTTTTGTTACAAGATGCTCCCATTTGGTTAAGGCTGCGTCGTTACTTTTGATAAACTGATTGGGTATGTAGTTGATTATGACTTGTCTTAAAACATTTGGTTCGATTTGTGGTCCATATTCTATGTAATGCTGCTGCGCCGCAATCATTGCCAAATCCGATTCAGCATTGCAGCGGTATTCTCCAAATTTGACTCCTTTCACAACTTGATGGTATATTAGGGTAGTCGCTACCGCATCTTCAGCTGGGTTATGCCACGGTGTGAAGACTTCTTTGCGGTAGAACAACCTCCATGGAGCGTTTTTCTCTGGAGTGCCTTGCTCTTTAGAATATTGTTCGCATTGGGAGATGGCGTCCATTATGTGTTCGCCTTCGCTTCCCAAAGATAGAACTTTGTCATAAAGGGTTATGTATAATGAAAAGCCGAAAGTGTCAGTTAGTCCGATGTTATCAGCTATCTGTTGGCATATTTCTTCGGATGTTGTGGCTGAATCCGATTGTACGGTCTTCATGGATTCGTCCATTAATGTTACTGTCAGAAGAATAGGTTTCTTCGTTTTAGTGGACTGTAGTTCCAGCCAGCTGGGCGGTTGCGTTCTCGGCCCGTTTTTAAAAGTCCTCATCAAACGACCTTCACAATATGGTGCGTATCCAACCGGGCCTTCGCGTATAAAGGAACGGAGGTACTTCACGAATCTCTCGGAAGGTGGAAAACAGCCAACGCAAAGCGATAGTAAGATCCAACCTCGCGCGAACGACGCTTTTGATGGGTTGTTAGAGAGTTGTTTGCAAAGTTGACAGAATATTTCGTCTCTGAAATAGAAATAACAACTAATTGTCGATAAAGCTCTTAAGTTTATTAGTAAGTTATTTAATAAGTAAATAATCTGTAAAAGGCTTTGAGTTTGCAAAGGTGTAAATAGCGATGATGGATGATCTGATGAGAATGTTGATCTTGATGGCTTTACGTCGAAACCTTACTCTTTAAGTAAGTAGAAGAGAGAAAAGAGTAATAAAGTTACGAAGGCAATATACGATTTATGTCTACATACGTTGTTTATTTCGTTCTTCTAAGCAAGAAGATTTACTTTACACTAATGCCCATACTATGTATATTGTTGGAAGTTTTACATTCTTATTGAGTTGGCCAAGTACCGGAAAAAAATTAGTGAGCCAAGATAGTTGGTAAATCCTCACCTTAATTCCTTCCTAATGATTCCGTGTCCAATGATAAAGTGCAGTTTCTCCAAATTCGTCGTGCGTCTCGTATTTAACCAAGTACTATACATTTCTGTGGTTTGTTCGTCATTCATCACGCTCTTCATAAATTCTTCGTTTAACTTCGATTGTTTCTTTAAAGTTCTTTGAACCAATTTGCTTTTGCCTTCGTAACTTTCTTTTAATATATCCTGCAATTATATCAGCGATTTAATATGGAGCACCTCGCAAAGTATAGCTTTAAATATAGGTAGGATGTTAATAGATAAGTTAAAGTTACACTTTAGTTTTAGACACAAATAGACTTCTAAGGCGTTCTTCCGTAAAGGATTCTAGTAATTTTCGAGTAGAAGGTCAATCAACAAAATGATTTCGTATTGCTAAACTTTTAAGCCACTATTTATGCAAGTGATAAAGTTGGCAGTAAAAAACCCATAACACCCATAAACCATAACATCTCAACATGATGCGCTTTTTTGGCTTTCATTATTCGGAAATTCACAGACTAGGCTTTCATCTGTCGATGGTAGATCGCGATCCGGACGGAATTTGAATGAAGTCCCACATATTTCTTAAAAAGACCTTGATTAAAAAAACCCCTGTGGGGTTCAAGCCCACGGCCCGTTGATTATTAGCCAAACATTATATATTATGATACCATTAAACCAACGAGTCCGTCGATAAAACACCACTGTTGTGAAACATAATAACCTCAAACTCCTTAGTCTTCTGGAAAGCGCGGCCAACGGTATCCGTCAATTGGGTCATAATTGGCGTATTATCCTTTCTATCGTCTGTGTACTTCGGTTCAGCGAGATCTCCCATGAACCTTAAAATCGTGACCCACAGCGCCTGCGCAGCCGCCTTGTCAACTGGTGAAGGTAGATCTAGCAGCGATTGCTTCAAGGGTTTTCTCGAGTACTGATGGCTCACGTTACCCAAGAAATAAGTGGCTGCGAATTTCTTGAAATTGAACTCGTCGAATTCGTCTTCTTCGTACTCTTTTTGTAGTGGTATGTTTATGACGTCTACTACTGAAGGTTTTTCCACTGCACCCTGTAATATTTAGGAATTATTTTAATTTAGATTAAAATGCTGGTAGATGAAATACATTTTTATGAGAATACATGTAACTTGTAAGTCAAATTGAGGATGCTTACCACGTTACTAGTACGTAAGTAATAAATTTGTATATATATACTTTGCGTTGAGTTAGTGTTTTATTTTAATCGATGAGTTGTTTATTTAGTTCTGGCTGTGCTCGCAACTTTGACGGGTAGAATAGTTATTTATTAATTTTCGCAAACCCACTCCCCTCATCTTATAGTTTCTAGCTGTACTTACGACGTCTCACGTCTCATCGTTAAAAGATAAAGAGCAACACTAACGCCTTACTAGCTGGCCAGGGATGCCAACGCTACACTAACCACTATACCAAAAAGGTAGATTAAGTTTATTAGTTATAATTCAAAATACTTACCACGCCAAACCCAGTACCTCTAACAGTACCAGCCGGTGTCGCGGTATCTTTTAAAAAACCAAATACGTCGTCAACATATCTGTCATCTATATACGTATTATTTTGCGCATTAGCCTCCACGCCCACATCTTTTCCTACCCACACTGCTCTCATGAACTCCGTATACTTCTTCTCATATTCATCTTCTGCTGCCGCTTTATTGAGCTTACTCTGTGCTTTCTCTCTTCTAAACTGCTCTAGCTGAGCTTTGATGATTGGCAGCTTGTCAGCCATCAATTTCCGGATTAAGTATCCCCTACTCTGAGCTTGGAGCTTTGTGAAAAATACTCTTAGATTGAGAAAAGTCTTTCTCAGTTCACGAGCTTTTAAGATCGCCTGTAGTCGCAGATAGCCTCTCTTCATAATTAAGTATTTGCTCCTATAACCTCTAGAACGGTAGTATTTCTGCACGATCAGGGTAGCAGCTCGAAGTTTCAGGAATCTCCTTCTATAGATAAAGCGTCTTCCATTCGTCTGGACTCTGATGACTGCGTTGATCAGCACTTTGTGTCTTAGTTCTTCTAAAATGCTATCATGGTGGTCTTTGAGGAAGACTTTTGTGTGTCCAAGTCTAAAGTCTTGATCTTTGAGTACTTCTACGCATATTTTCTTTGCGGCTTCTTTGCAGTCTGCTCTTTCGACTGGCGGTATGCCTGGTACGACGAGACGGTATCGGTGAACAAATTCAGCGTACGAGTGCCTAATGGGGTAACCGGCTTGACGTATTTTCGCTGTCTCCATTAAACCTGCGTACCGCAATTGACGCACACATAATGCTCGATCTAAAATCTAAAAAGAGATAGATAATTTAGAAATTCTTACATAGTGAAAGCAAAGTAATTTTTGTAATTATTTTTCTAATTCCAAAAAAGATAAAAAGATTATAGATACTCATTCCATTAGTACAGATAAGGTCAACTAGATAATTCATTGTGCACTAAAATGGCGAAAACATTACTTTCCACTTGTTATGTCAGTAAAAATTTTACTTATACTATATAAACCAAGCTTAAATGCTATTTGTACTTCACGTGAGTAGGACACATTCTATTCGCCGACCAGTTTTGGTTTTAAATATTCGAAAATCAACAGACTGAAACCTGGCTTTCATCTGTGAACGGAGGTTCGTGACCCGGACGGTATTTCGATATTCCTACCACCAATTTAATATCCAGACAAAGTCCAAAAGCTTCAGAAAAAATATAAATAAACCTTTAAGTGTTATATTTAAACTTTTAACGGTTTATTTATTTAATCTTTATTATATAGCAATAAAACCTTTAATATCAAGTGCAATACACCGTGATTGTCATCGAGATAAGATTAAGTTATAACATACCCGGGGTTTTTTCAATTCATTGGGTTTGATACAACGAACAAAGAAAGGATGACAGGCGTATAGCGTTTTCATCAATGATTCGAGTGACGTCTTGAATTGGTGACTCAGAGATACAGTTTTGCGGCTTGCGCTATGAGGAGATACGGAATCGATCGGGAATATTTTCTTCAGAAATGCGTTATTCGATTCCATTAAGAGTTCTTTAAGATCTGATGTCAACATGTCCCTGTTCTTGTCGAGGAAACCTGGAAAAATATGCATTTTTCATGAAAAATATGAAATGTATGCACAACATACACTCGTTTATTTCAGTTTACATATCTTTCTAACATGTTATGAGTGCCATAATTTTTAAGATTAAAAAAAATAACTTTCTTTTTATGTTTTTCATATCTGTGGTTACTTATTATCTGTGTAATTCAATAATGTAATTAAGATTGCATGATAAATATAATAAACATCCACAGTGTCATTAATCAATAGTTAACACATAAGAGTTAAAACTGAAGATTAAACGAAAGATTTTACAAAACATACCTACCGTTAACAGTATAATAAACGTCGCCAGCAAAGTGCTTGATTCCAAACCTATAATCGCGTGTCGATTTTGGAGTTATATAACAATTTTTTCCACCATGATTACTATTCAGCTTATCCAGCAAAGTTACATCTGTCCCTTTAGGAAACCTGGACTCTTCATCAATAAGGGACAAAAGATTCATTGGTTTTAAACCGATCATGTCCAAGTTCTCTTGATTATCCACATAATTTATGTTCGTCCAGGTTATACCTTCTTTTTTATATTGCTCCTGTTCCAACTTAAATATGTGTCTGACGAAAAACTGTTGCAAGTTCTCGTTGGCGTAATTGATACAGAGCTGTTCGAAGCTATTATTTTCAAAGTTCTCAAAACCAAAAATATCCAAAATTCCGATAGATCCACTCGATAACGTCTCGTCTTTGTGCAGCGTTTTATTTATATTCTCCACTATGTAGACGAAAATGGCGCCATATATCGCTTTTACTAGTGCGTCTCTGGCTTCTATCGCTGATGAAACCGGTACAGTAGAAACAATTTTCTCACCCTGCGCAATAAACGTCTTGCGCGTAAGCGCTTCACAATATTGCACCTTATTAACGCCGAGTAGAGTCGCAATTCTGTTAGCATTTATCGCGTCCGCTACCTCAGAAGATTCTATATTATTGGAGCTGTAAGATTTGAATTTGAGGTTGCCCATGTGCAAAATGGCAGCCAGCAAATTGAACACGCCCCAAACTTCATCATCAGCAAAGTTGAGCACCTTGAAAGCTGATCTTATATCTGAAAACTCCAACGCATCGTTTCGACCATCGCAAGTCAGCATATTACCAGAATTGAGGTATTCATAGTCTTGCGGTCTGCCAAGATCCAGCTTCTTCTTCTCGTCAGCAGATAAGCCAGTGACCAGGGAATAGAAAATGTGATAATTCCTCTCGCCTTTATTTTGACGCACTATTCGCGACTTCTCTAATAAATACTGTTCTATATTCCCACCTTCGATAACTCCCTCATTGGTGAAGTAAATGTTTATGTATTTTCCGAATCTAGATGAGTTGTCGTTTTTCACCGTTTTGGCATTCCCGAACGCTTCAAGAATAGGATTTGTTTCTTGTATTTGTTGTTCTATCCATGAGTGCTTCCCACTAGCTGCAGCCAGGTATTGTAGAAGTAATTTTGTACTTTCTGTTTTTCCAGCACCGCTTTCGCCACTGAAATAATATGGAAGACTTTGTAGAATTATATTAAATTGGTACATATTAAATAAAACACCTTTCACGTTTAAGTTAGTTTTGACTATAACCCGACATTTCAGCTGTTTGTGATGTAATCACGGGGGTCAAATAATAATTATTCTTACCTGATCACGACGCATTGATTTGAAGATGTGTCTAGCAGTTCTTTGTAGGAGTCACTTCCGATAGCGAAAATATGAGGTGGCATATCGCCGATGCTTCTGTCTTGGTAGAAGTGTATTTGATCCATTGTGTATATTGGCAATATTTCGTATGGATTTATAGCAATAAGCATTGACCCAGTGTAAGTCTGAAATAAAAGAGGGGTTTTCCATTACAAAAGATTTTTTTAAAACTCAGATAAGTGTGTCAACTTCGCCAATCATGATTGATTTTAGTAATCCCGTTTCCACACGTGGGACATGGGGCTAACACATTACTGTGTCCGTTCTGTGTCTTGCTCGACCGAATCAATCAATTATTTCCCGGCTTCGAACACGGGTCCTCTAGCGCTTAACATAATGCTAGCCAACAACGTTAAATTTGGCTTCAGTGGCGATCGATTAATTGCAGTTGACGTAAATATGTGGTGAAAACTATTTGTGGTGTAGAGAAAGTTTCATTATTGTATTCAAGATCTTACATAAATTAACTGCTGGTTATAACGTATATGGAGGTTTCGTAGAATCGTATACTCTTGCAATTCCCCCAACGTTATCATATCTTCGACACTGGTGATAGACGTGGCGTGTAGCGGTTTGATGACATTCTTCGCATCCGCAATGATCTTCCTTCCATCATCATCTTGAACCTCAAGTTTCCCGCCAGAACTGTTCAGAACTTTCACTGCTATGGGAATATCATACTCCGACGTACCTTCTGGTTTCAACCAGATTAGGTCCTGTAAAATATAATTGTTTTGAACGGAGGAAAGAAGAACTATGTATAATGTATGTGCATTTACTTACCGATATTCGAACCCTCTCTGCCATTTTGTTTGTAAAGTCTATACTTGATCCATTAAAATGAACACTTCCTTACCATATAACATCATTATAGAAACTGAACCTGTTATCAATACACTAGATTACTTATCATTATAGTGTTGATAAGTTAAAAAGTTATTGAAGAATTTCGTATTGGCTACTTATTAGAAATATTTACGATAGTGCACACTTGATACTGATAACAAGTTCAGGAACAATTTAACAAGATCAGCATTACTTCAGGAAGGGATTACGATTAAAAGATAATGTTTTAAAAATTAATTTTATTAATATAATACGAATTACAGACTTAGGCTATTGGATTAATTTAATTACTTTTTCTTTTCCTCTTTCTCCTTCTTATCTCCTTTTGCCTTGTCCTCTTTCTTTTCATCCTTATCATCTTTCTTCTCCTTCTTGTCCTTGGCATCTTCTTTCTTGCCTTCCTCGGCGTCCCTGTTAGTGATCTTGTTGTTTATGAGATTATGTAGAGCAATAATAGATCTGACTAGAGCAGCTAAGTAGACAACCAGGGATTGATCATTTGTTTTTATGTAGAGATTGTCTGCAAAGTTGTCACTAGTGATATCTGGTAAGAGATTAAAAATATCCTGCAGCTGGTAAATGATTTGGTGGTTCATTGGTAATGATCCTTGGCCAACTTGGGCCAGGTAGTCTCGGATTTCACTCAGTTGTGAGTGGAGACCCCTTAAACCCAAGAGCTGGTTGGTAATACGTTGTGAGAGGCTACCAACAGTTGTATCCTTGATGTCCCTAAGCAAGTGCTCAACACCAACTTCTTCTGCTTCTTCAGCTCCAATTTCACTTGGGACATGTTCAAATGTTCGAGTAGTAGGGCTTCCGTCATCATGAACTTCTTCAACAGCTTGGTAAGCTTCAGTAGGTAAGCCCAAATCTTTAGGTTTAGCATCAATAATGACAAGAACTGAGTTTGGACAGTATCGCCTGATTAATTCATTAATTGCAACATCATTCTGGTGAAGTTTAGGCCCTGTGTGGTACCATCCAACCACTTTCTCTCGAGCATTTACCTTTTTAAACATACCATACATGTTCTCCAGGTAGTCATGATCCAAGAACCATACTGATTTGTCTTTATCATCCTCATCAAATGGAACTGCAATGAAAAAGTATTCACTGTGAAATTGTGTTTCAAACATTATCTAATGCATTACATTAGATAATGTTTGAAACTATGTACTATACTTACTTCTATGTAATCAATTAAAAGTTTATTTGTATTTGAAACAACTAAACTTACAAAATAACATTTTATGCTACAAATCTAAGGTCTTAAGTTAAAAGGTATGTGTATCCCTGAAGATTAAATAAATTACTATATTTAAATTAAAATATTCTTTTATTTGTCATTTTGGTTTAGTGGACATCACAATTGACTCACTTTGTAAGAAGGTAAATCTTGGAGAACAAATGAACAGTTTTAGTTAGACTGATTAGTTTTAAATGTGGAAATCAGTTAGTAAAAGCCACAAATATCCCAAGCACATCTTTTTTTCTCTTTCTATTAAAAACAACATGATATGTGTTTTGCATGAACTAGGCTTAAAAATGAGGCACTATACTAAAGCCAAGAGCGGATGTAAAAAAGAGATTTCATCACGGCCATTTGGACACACTTGTTTCTAAACTCTCACTTCATTTATAAAAGAGGAAATCATATGAATGTAGCCTTATTTCTATGTATATTTCATTTCATTGATTTTATGTACAGAAGAAAAACAGAATTGGAAAAGTCTGATATAGAACACAGTATTTTACCTGGGAAGTAAACCTTCATGTAAACCTAACTTTTGGCGATACACTTGATGAAGCCACAGTGGCCCCCCTAATATTAATAATAACAATGACAATGTAACTTTTGACTAACCTGCAAAGCTGTTCGAGACATCAAGAACTCCTTTTGCTCGCCAACATCCTAGTAGGACACCAACAACCCTTTTTTGGTTCCCGATCTTTCCCATACGATTGAAATGGTCTACAACGCTAAGTAATACAAGTGGATGCACCACAACCTTTGTAGTAACAACTTCTTGACTAGGCATTTTTTTGCTTTTTGCTGGATAGCTTTAAACGAAGCCGGGTAGACGGATCCGATAAGTTAGCAAATGCTATAAATAGTAAAAGCACTTCTTTATAAAGTAATTTAGGAAAACCTTTATGTTATTCGGTATGATTCTCTTAAAAAATGAGAATCACAAAATTTGACAGTCATCACTCAACTGTCACCTATAAACTGTCTGATATAGAATGGTAACTTTGATAATGGCAACATAAGCATACATATAATTTTCATTGTTTATATTATACAAAGCACTTCATTAAAAAATCTGCATCTAAATCACTAAAAAATTCAAGTAAATATTTTAACGTAAACTATAAAACTTATCATCCTATATTAGGCAAGATATTACAGTGGGAAACCAAGCCGTGTTTTTCTCTATGATTTTCCATAGGCTACCGAAAAAGTGTTAAAATAGAGAGGGATTTGTAAAAATTAATAACAATATAATATGTATTTGAAAAAGTAACATTTTGTGGCAATAATAAATTATGATTTATTCTTTAAGCTTTTTCCTCTATTAATGATAATAACATTATCTTCGCTAATGTTGAAGTTTAACGATACTGAGTGACGTTTCTTCTTGAATAACATTATATTATTACTTGTTATTACTTTTAATTTTAATGTAGAAGACCGAAGATTTACAAACAAAAAGTGAAATACCTTTTTTAACAGTCAGAAAATATATAAGTATATATGAGAATGGCCCAGAAAACGTTAACTTTCGTTACGGGGAATATAAAGAAGTTGGAAGAGGTTAGAGCAATATTAGGCAACAATTTCCCCTTAGAAGTTACTAGTCATAAATTAGATCTACCCGAATTACAAGGCGAGATTGAAGAAATATCTATAAAGAAGTGCCAAGAAGCAGCGCGTCGGCTAAACAGACCCGTTTTCATTGAAGATACGTCACTTTGTTTCAATGCTCTAAAAGGATTACCTGGACCTTATATAAAGTGGTTCTTAGATAAAATTCATCCCGAGGGATTGCACCAACTTCTAAATGGGTGGGAAGATAAATCGGCCGAAGCAGTATGTACTTTTGCATACTCCCCTGGTAAACCCGAAGATGAAGTTTTAGTCTTTCAAGGGAGAACTCAAGGTACTATAGTGTCTCCTAGGGGAACACGAGACTTTGGTTGGGATTGCGTTTTCCAGCCCGATGGCTATAATGAAACATATGCTGAACTACCAAAGGAAGAAAAGAATAAAATATCACATAGGTACAAAGCTTTAGATAAGCTTGAACTTATTTTATGCAACAAAGTTAATAAAGTTACTTTATTAAGATACTAGCCTCTAAACATTTAAATGTACAAAGTTCTTTAATTATGAAAATGTAAGTAAAGATTTTTTTACATACAAATATATTTTTAATTCCCTCCCTGATTTATTGGCCTTCTTGACAAAACAACAGTTTAACATTCAAAATGTATTAAATTATTTTTATTTTGTCTCTATAACCTTTTGTATAGCTTATATAATTTTGGTCGCCACAAATTACAGATAACACCTTTTTCCTCTCCTCATTAAAAATATTATTTATAGATTTAAGTGTCTTGTCTTCCTTGGTGCATTAATTTTGGAGTCCTTGGATTAACATTATGAGAATCGGAAAATAAAATATCTTTTAACAAATTTAATCACTTATCAGATAATTATTAATCATAAAATATCAATACACAATATAAAGCTTAAAACCAATAAATTTAACCAAGATAGATTTCTATTTGAAATTGATGTATGTATTCCAGGTGCAATATAAGGATCTAGATTCGATTTATTATAGTTCTGGTAGTACCATTCCTTATCACTCGTTGAGCTTTTATTATCAATCATAGGCAGGTCTGAAAATCTTGTTTTAGCTTCTCTGTTTATTACTGGAGAGTAATCGTTGTGTGAATCATAATGTTCCGCATGGGGCATGCTGACTTTAGTTATTGTTGCTGCTCTGCTGCTATTCCATTTGAGGTCATCTTTCTGTATTGTAACAGCTGATAGTGCCGTTGGCTGACTCTCTATTACATGAGCTTTAGCAGGTCTTATAGTAATTGGTCTGTGTGTTGATGGTTTTATACTAGTTGTTTCAAACCATGTTTGTAACATATTAGTGTCAGTAGTTATTATCCCCTCTTTTTCAGTAATATGTGTGATTGAAAAGTTTGATTCCATCATGTTGTATTTGCTCATGTTGGCTGGATCACTCTTTTGCTCCTCTACATTTTTAGTCCTATTATAAGCTATATGGGTGCTGTTATCATTGTCTAAATAAGCTTGTAATTCATGAATTTCGCTTTTAGTCTTCTTGTGTGTTGTAGAATTTTTAATTGTACCCATTGTTGGTTCTTTAAGGTGCATCATAAAATGTTGGTCAATTTTACCCATGTTGCCGTGCCTAATTTTGCCTCCATCACTTATAACAGTGTGCGTGATGTTTGTCTTGGGACTCGGCAGTGGATACGGGATTGGTGAAAAACCACCAGATGTTGGTGGTAGCATAGGAGTGAAACCACCAGTTTCAAACTTTGGTATGTCTGTTGTTGAATATTTTTTGATATTTTGTTGATCTCTATTTTCGGACCAGTCTATTTTGCGACCTGTATTTAACAGCTTTCCCATGTCAATTGAAGGTAACGGTAGGCCAAAAAATGTAAAACCACTTTTTGGTGGAGTCGCTGTGGTTGAAGTTTTGTAGGTACTTGGTTTCTTCTCTGTTGTATTTTTCATTGCTGCATACAGTGTTGGGGTATTGCCAATAATTTTATTTGTGGTATTACGTTGCCCTAAATCATTATTTATTTCTAGTAATGTTTCGTTGTATGGATAGTCTACATAATCATCGTAAAAGTAATCCGATTCTTCAGGGGACGGTCTGTTTATTTTATTAACATGGTAATTATTTCTTATATTTGAAGCGTAATCTTTAATTTTGTCTAAAGAAGAAAACACTTGTGATGCTCCAATATTCGGTAGTAGGGCCTCGTTTTCCGGGTTGAAACAACGTTGATCATTCTCATTTATTGGCATACCTCTACAGTCATTCCTGCCGAACGGCATATCTTTGACATGTGTGCCATCGGCGCATTTAGGTCCTCTCGAAGTTGACTCAGATAACCAGGATTTGAGCCAAATCATTGCACAATTGCATATTATTGGGTTCCCTGAAAAAAAAATCATTATAATCATAATAAATTACCTTAATTTGTACTACAATTTCGGATATATAAGTATATTTTAGGTACATACCATTTATGTCAAAAATAGCGATATTATGTCTTAATTTCAAGAAATTGTTTTCAGCTATTGACGTTAATTTGTTGTTTCGAAGAGACAAAATTTTCAATCTCGGCATAAAATCAAAGGGATGGCCATTTATGGAGCATATGTGATTACTATCCAGATTAAGTTCAACAAGCCATTCCATGTGTTGAAAAGATTCTTTAGTTATCATGGTTAATTTGTTGAAGCCCAAATCTAAAACTTCCAGCGATGTTAGGGTCCTAATTCCAGAATTTTCTAAATTTGTCAAATGATTATTACTCACATTCAAATATTGTACTAATGGCATGTTCTCAAAGGCCCGCATTGATACAAATTGTAAACGATTGCCTTGTAATTCTAGTATTCGTAGTTTTAAAAGATTTGCAAATGCCCTATCTGGTAAATCGATAATGTGATTTCTGCTCAAGAAAATCGATGTTAAATTCGGCAAATTAACAATGGCGCGCGGGTGGATTATTTCAATTTGATTATTATGTAAATCAATGGTTTCTAACGAGCTGAGATTTTCAAAACTCGCTGTTCGTAGTTCTAAGATTTTGTTGCCTGGCATTTTGATCTCTTTTAGAGTGTGTATATTGTTGATTACATTTCCATCGAAATGTTTTAAATTATTGAAACTGACGTCCAAAACCCTTAAATTAGATAACATATTCAATGTATTTGGTAATTCGTACAAGTTGTTTGAAGATATATTTAATACTTCAACGTCCATACGGTGCTTTATCGTACTTGGAGCTATACTTTTCAATCTATTTTTACTAAAGTCTACTGATGAAAGCGCGACGTTATCTGCAATCGCAAGGAAATCAAAATTTTCCATGTTATTTCCATGTAAATTTACTTTCTTAAGATGAGAGAGTTTGTCGAAGCTTCTCGGATGTATAGAAATTATCTGATTCTCGCTTATGTCCAATATTTCCAACCGTTGTAAATCGCTAAACGTCATAGTTTCTATTTGTTTTAAACCGTTGCGTTTCATGTAAAGTCTTCGTAAATTATGCATGGTACTCAGGCCATTTACAGGGATTTTTTGTATGCCATTATTAGAAATATCGAGAGTTCTTAAAGACGGTAGATCTAAATCCGGAGAAGGCGGTGCCGGTAAAGTTGTTATTTGATTTCTCTGCAGGTGCAATTGTTCTAAGCCACGTGGCAGTCCTGGTAAAAATTCCAGAAGTCGATTGGAACTGGCGTCAATTTCGTATAAGTTTTCTAGATTTCTGAACGTTGCAGGATGCACAGACATAAGCCCATTTTTCGATATATTAATATGTTCCAATAATGGACAGTCCATAAATGTCAGTGGGTCGATAATCGATATCTGGTTACCACTTAGGTTTATTCGTCTTAAGGCTGGTATGTTAAAAAGAAGCTTTGGTTGTAGTCGCGTAAAGTAATTTTGTGACAGATCTAAACCCTTTAGCGCAGGGAGGTTCCAAAATGGTCCTTCACTCATATCACTCAGCGAATTATTATTCAAGTGAAGTTCTCTCAACGCTGGCATAGCTGTAATAGCGTCATTTTCTATGAATTTTATGTTATTTTTGTTTAAATGAAGACGTTCTAAACTAGGGTGGCCTCTTAGAGCCCCCCTGGGAATTTCTTGTAGGTAATTCTCACTCATATCTAAAAACTTCAATCGGGGCAATGCATCAAGTAATGAACGAAATTCGGAAATATGCATTATTTTGTTTCCAATTAATGTTAACTCTTCAACGCCGCTTCCTGACGGCTGTAAGAATGATTCAGGGTGTATCCTTATTATTTCATTGTAATTGAGATCTACGACTCTTAACTTAGGGACTCGATGAAAAGCTCCATGATGAATAATGTTAATCTTATTATGTGATAGTAGTAAAATCTCTAACATAGGTTGGTCTACGAAAGCGCCTTCATTTAATTTGGATATGTAATTGTGATTCAGATTCAATGTTGAAAGCATAGGCAAGTCTCTCGTAGCTCTGCCGACCATTGTAGCATCTGATATGAAATTGTTACTAAAACTTAACTCGTTTAGTATAGGCAGCAGCGATAAAGCTCTCATGTGTATATTGGTTATACCACAGTTTTTTATTTCCAGCTTTGCGAGTTTAGGCAAATCGTAAAAAGCATTCTCCTTTAGACTATGGAGTTTAGAGCTGCCTTGAATAAAAAGTTTATCTAAGTTTGGAAGATTTTCGAAAGTGTGCTCATTTAGGCTGGTTAAGCTGTCCGATTGAAGGTTCACGTAGCGCAGTTTCTTCAAATTTATCAGCGCAGGTATTCGTTTCAAGCTATGCGATTGTATTGTTAGAGCTTGTAAATTTTGGAGCTTCATTAAACTTTCCGCTGGCAAGCTTTTAAGTTCGTTTTCCACAATGAATATTTCGAGCAAATTGTCTTCTTGCGTTTCAAGCCATGCTGCTGAAACGCTTTCTAAGCCATTGTGCCTGAGCATCAGACGTGCAATATTTACATTTTGGAATAATTTCCCTGGTAATGAAGGCAAATAGTTATTCTCTATGATTAATTCGTCTATGGGTTGTCTTATGTACTGTCCGACTTTTTGTATCCCTTTTTGTACTTGAACCAAGTCGCTGTGTGTGCACCTGAAATAAGAAACATAAAAACAATTTTAGGGTATGTCTTTTTTTATTGACCAATAAACATTGTTAAAATTTACCATATTTGTAACTCTTCGTTTCTACTTGTACATATACACGGGAGTATATTTTCTGGTGCCGGGCATGGTCCCGTACCTCCACTGGAACTCTGCGGTGCTATCACGAGGGCGAGGCACAATAAAATCCAATGACCATTGGGATCCATTCCTTGACTTCTGAGATTGTCATTGTATCATGCTATATCAATTGTTCGTCTTCGTCCTTTATGTTATTTGAAACGGAGACTGATCTGTTAGTATAGCACCAATGGTTGTCTGCTTCTGTTCACCTTTAGCTGTAAACAATATAACGGATTTCAGATCTATAATACTATCCGGTTGCACCAAGGACGCGGACGGTGTCAATTAAAACAATAAAATCGGGAAACAATAGTTGCGTGGATAGCCGCGATTGTTCAAGTTCTACTTTCACTACGCTATTGTTCTTAAATTTTCTAGTTTTGGTTCTGTGTTTGGTACTTTATATCATAGTTACCGAAATTATGCAACGTCTGCGCCGTTTTGTTTTGCTCTACTTGTTATACGGTTGCTGAAAAAGCATGTGTCATTGATTATACGAATTTTTTGCCCACTTGAATCACAGCAGCAAGTATTAAAGATTATTGAGGTTTTTTTACTCCGGCAGTGGCTATAACGTCTTCGCATCTTGATCTGACACGAAAAGCTAATATCGTAAGAAACGGAATGTAAAATAGTGTCAAACGCTTTGAAACTAGATAATGTGTAACCTATATGCAGCCATCGAGACGAATCATTACGGTACAGTTACGCAGTTCTGTTAAACATAACTGTCGCACGGAGACATCATATTCGCCAACATCCGTGGATACGATAAGCGTAGTTGACGATGGATGTATGTCAAAAAAACTGTTGGACTAGCTTTTATGGATGTGAAAATTAAAAAGAGTTTTATTTGAGATTACATATATGGCACCACACATTATAAAACACTGTCTTTAGTTTACGCGAGTAGTACACATTTAAATAAATCAATTTAACGGTTTAAAACGCGATATATGTATATTAGTTAAACTTGCTTGAAAATTATTATAAATCAGCAAATCGCGTTTTAAATAGTGTTTTATTTAAACCATAAATTATATCAATGTAGTATACAAATATTGGTAACGATGCTAAGAAGGGACAAACAAACATAACTGTCGTCGCAGACATTCTTCTATATGGGACGGAAATATATGAGGAAATTATGTAAGCATCCTTTATCCTATGTCGTTGGTAAGTAGATTCTTTAATTTTCGGTTTCAGTAGCTTTTAGCCTGGCTTCGCTTGGTTTAATATTAAAAAGAAGCTGGATGTATTAAGGGAGGTTAAGCTTTATAGTAACCTTTCAACTGTTACTTAGTGAAGAAAAGGGAAAAATATATTTTCATAAAAGTATAAATTATCGCAGCTTAGGTGTTTATATAATAACATTTATACGTAATAATAATTGTGTCTGCTATGTGTTTCTATACGCTTAAAGTGCATACTGAGAATGATAGATCTCACACACAGAGGTAGGTATAGTCTCACCTCAAATAATATTTAGTTACAGTTAAAATTAAAATTAATTACTGCTTATTTACTATAATATATAGATAAGAAATAGAATTAGCTAGAACATTTATCAATGAAGGCTTTAAACTATAAAACAGGAGGCTGGCAAGGAAACAGATAGAAGTGTGAATAAGACGGGAAAGAATATTTATCTTCGAGGGTTACCTTTCGCGCGCTACTAAAACGCCTTAAGGAACCAAAAAATGTGAGTAAAAGAATGATTTTTTCCTTTATTATAATCCAAACAAGATCTGCAACGGAATATGTCTATCGGTTAATATTAATGTCGCGAGATCAACGAGACGCGATGATGTCGTTGGTATCAAAAAAAAAATAAATTTCACGAAGCCTTATACTTATTATTAAAATACCTATCATATGCAATAGACAAAATACTGCTGATACGGCACATAAAAATATAATACATATGAGTACAAAACTTATTAGAGACATTATGTAAAGACCGAGATCTTTAAAGTATGTAAACAAACAAATAGCAGTTACGTAATAACTTACGCATATATTATGGACTTTTACTTTCGTCCGCGGGCGATGTAACTTTGAGGGTAGCTTCGGAAAAGCGGCGCTATCCAAAACTCACAAAGATTAATACGAAGAACTTCAGTTAGATTACGTAATCTATAGGCACCTGTTGGGCCTATGATAGACAAACACAGACTGGGATACGGAGTGGATTTCGCATGCAAACACCAGACTTTCGGTTCATGGCTCGATGCGCACCAAGTAACTTATCTTTCACCATTGTGGCTCGTGCCACCGGCATACGTAACATCGCAATACAGATGTGGGAAATGGTAAAAAAGCATATATTTTTGATTGTATACATTAAATAATTCCGAGTTTGTCATCTAGCAGCTTATAATTACCAAAAAAGTTTCCGATTCTTTTTTTCCGAAGGTTTCGTAGGTGTCATTTTACCTAATGTTTAGTTTAGCTTTTAAAAAAGTAACCTGTAACAATTTCCGGTGATTATGTGCAGATTCTACTAAACTACTATCAGCTACTACTAAGCACTTGTCAAAATACGTATTACGCTTTACATATCAACGTAGGTATACAAAATAATAAATTAAAATACTACATTACAATTTCATTTTCAAGTTAGATTTAGATCGTACTTTTTTTATAATTTAAAATTAATTTAGTAAAGTGGTGTTTACTTTTTGCATTTTAGCAAGCGTATCATAGAAGATCGTAACGTGTTTTTAATTTTTACACCAATTTCAATGTTGTAATGTATCTCATACTACTTGTGCGATAATGTAAGTAATGTAAAAGGCACGTGTTTTTTTTAAATAAAGTTTTAAGATGCTCCGTCTAAAAATGAACGAAATAGTAATAACTTAACAACATACAAAGTGCCAACTGGCAACGTAACAATCACTTTTAAAAATTGTTCAAATTTTTATAACTGCTTTAACAATTAATTATATATTTATACGTTTAACTAAGTTAGAGTTTTATTAATATCCTAGTAAATATGTTATAAAACGTCGTATGACATACGTGCGCTTTGAAAATTACAGCCTCTCTTTTCTTATAGTCCTCGCCGATGGCTGGGGCTAGTAATTTTCAACTTACCGCACTTATATCATAATGTACCTACTTACCTACATAAAATGATTTTTGTTATCTTTTCATGGAACGTATGTACAGAAAGTGAGTACTACTTAGTAGTAGTAGGCTGAGAAGGGTGTTAGATTTTTGGTATCGCTTGCTTAAAATGAAGTCTTCTCACAAACCACGAGCACCGGGCAAGCACATCTATAACGTTACGTGAAAATTTAAAATGGATGAACTACTAACTTAAGCGTGATCATCACATCTGCTTATAACGTTATCTTTGAACAACATATTGCAAAACAGTGATTGCATATGCCCCACAGGTATCAAGATTAATCCTTAGATGTTGTAAATGCCGTGATGAGGAAGGTTGGCACAATGAAATTGACATGCATTATTACAATTATCTTCATCAAAATCTTATAAGACCATAATTGGCAGAAACCTGATCTTCAATTATAACATTTTTAGCGACATTTTATTGTTCCTGTATGTGGTTGGATCGAGACGTTTGTATTTGCACAAGTGAAACGGTGTTTTAAAAACAATGACAATTCATTTTGACACCATTGTGTGTCCACGAATCTAGTTTTAAAGTAGGTACGTCATGAGAAATATTAAATCATTAATATAGAAGGATAATAATACTGCAATTGAATATATAAATTAATTTAAGGCTTCTATATCAACAGCTGGAGAATTATTACGATCTCAAGTTCCACTATTCTTACTAGTAAGTCATTATTCAAGCAATAAACAAAACGAGGTAAACTCAACAAGGGAAATATTGGTATATTGCCTAAATCTATTGAAATATTGACCTTATTTTTACATGTCATTGCACATGAATGCATATTTTTAAGATCGATTCAATTCGACAAGGGTGAGAGTCAAACTTACAGCCAAAGTGTTCTCAGCTGTTGCTCTAAAGTCTAAACAACTGAGCTACTGAGTAACTAAGAATAGTTTAATATATTTAAACTTTCGCAGAAATATATGTAAAAAACAATACAGAACAATAATATTAACACTATATTAGATAGACTGTTTGTTTCCTTCGTTAATAGCAACGTGGAAATGTTATCACGCTGTTTGCAAATATATCGCATATATCCGCAATAAAAAACTTGATCACCTTCAAAAATTCGCGTGCCCCCTACCGGCCTAAGTTAACGAATTTTTTGTTCGTCTGTAGAGTGGTTGGTGGATCTCGTTTGAGTCGAGAGGGTCATGTTTGGGAAAGCACCAAGTGCGTTTGAAGATATTCCTGCCCCAGACTTATAGCATAATTGTTGTATTATTGTCTGTTGTTTTATTTAATACATAGTAAGTATTTTAAGCGCCAGTCTTAGAACATATGTACGTAAACTCATATTATGCTTCCTTCTAGCTAAGGTAGGTAAATAGTTAACATAAACCAATCTAAATACTATAACTTCAATATCTATTAAAATAGACAACACTGGTTTTAAAAATTGACGACACTGGTGCAGAAGCAGGTATCGCAGTGGTTGCGCGTTCAAGTCCCGCCCGTGTTGTTTAGGTTATCTAAATAATTTTTTTATTTATACAAGGTCATGTGCAATAAAATGTAAGAAATATATAAGTCTGATTTATGCATCAAAAAAGTTTGAAATATAATTTCCCCTTACTATGTTCCAAACTATTGCGCAGTTAAGGAAAACGTTTTTCAAGCCACGAAATTATGCCAAATTGAAAAGGAAAACTCAAGGCCGAGCTGGCAAAAATATAACGCGAAGGCTTATGTGACCGACGTCAGAGCACACACCCACTTTGCCATCGTATACAATTCAAACGAGCTGAGTATCGTCAATAGTTGAAATAAAGTCCATTTTCCATTTACGCAAAGTGAAAATGACGCGAGGCATAACCAGTTCTGTGTTCGTTCTAAATCATCTGAATCTTTATTGACTTCAGTTACCTGTTATCGTTTGTCTAACGCGATACGTGAACGAGAGACGCATTTACTAGTATAGGCTATGGCATTATTACACAAGTTATGTCACAGAGCACTTTCTTCGAATTTAAGGACGTATTCTGTGAAAGCACCTCTACAGAAGCCTCCTAAAATATTAATCACTGGTGAGTCAAAAATTGACAAAAAATAATTCGAAATTAAAAAAGGTGGTGATAATTGCTCAAAGACAAATAAAAGTTAAATAATGCTTGCATTTTTATGGCTTACTGCGAGATTTACAAAATACTTTCTTCGAGAAAACTGGATTTAGTGTTCTATCCACTAACAAAATATTTATACTGTATTTAAACCCAATTTGATATTTTAACTTTCCTATTAAATAGAAAAGTAGTTTTAATTAAAATATACCGTTTATTTTATAAAGTCTGTTTCAACGTAATTTGGAACCGGTAAGGAGACCCTATGAATTATTTTTGTTATCATACAAGCAAGTTAAGTTGGACATTACCCAATATTGTTAAAATATTAGTGAATTATTATAAAACAACACCATCCCACGATGGAGTCTATCAATATAGTCTACATTAGATTTCATTAAACAATACTTCAGAGTCGTTATCAATGAGACCTTGAAATCGCAAATTTGCCGGCTGAGAACCGGCACATGTTTGTTAGAAAAACTTCGCGAACTGTTTTGTTATTAAGCATTTTTTGCTGAAGTTGGAATTATAGATGTACAGTAGTTCAATCTTAAGCAATACCGGATTAGATGAAAATTGTAATTGAAAAATATTACGTTTTCCATTCTCTAGCTTTACATTCAGGTCAAGGATTTAGCGGTAAAATGTGTAAGGTATACGTAAAGAGCAAACAGGTTTCACCCGTATAACAAATTAGAACTATAATATGCACTAGCTGTGTCCCCGACTTCGTCCGCATGGATTAGTTATTTTGGACAACAATTATTTAAATACTGTCTATAGTTTACGCGAGTAATACACATTTAAATAAAACACTTTAACGCATTAAAACGCGATATATTAGTTAAACTTATTTGAAAATTGTTTTTATCTCGTGTCTCCCCGTGACCACGGCTGCTGCAAAGCATTCGAAACGTCGGGCCGAAGTTAAAAATCATTTCCAAATAAGTTTAACTAATTTATCACGTTTTAAACCGTTAAAGTGTTTTATTTAAATGTGTACTACTCGCGTAAACTATAGACAGTATTTAGTATTCATTTACTCAATAAAACCTTTAAAAATCTATATTTGCCACTTTTATATTATCGTATTATACTTAATTAAACTAAAATTGTAAATACGTTTCTTTGTCAGGATGGTTAATGATTCTTGGTAACTTTTTACGCCTTAACTAATGAACGTAACTCGATCACCGATACCATCGTGAAAACCAGAAATTTTTATTGGCCTTTTCTGGAAATATATACCATTTCGGCCATTAAAATTAGGATAGGTCAATATTTTTCAACAAACCCAGTTTTAAAAATACAACGCAAATAATAACTTTGAACTAGTATTGTCGCAACAAATCGTGATAAATATTTAAATAAACGGAATGAAACAACATGTTGACAGTTCAGTTATTGTTTGAAGTGCCGTCATATAATATTAGTAGGTATCTCTGCTGCTGCTTTGTTTACAAAATAAACTACACTATAATATCTAAGCTTTATGTAATTATAGAGAAAGACTTGTTTAAGGAATTAGTACCTAATTATTATAATGAAATGGGATAATTTTACGAAAGGAGATAATGTTGATATACGGATTTAGAAATATTACTTAAGTGTCCGCCTGGTGCCTAATTTACCGAAGTTCGATCTTCCCGCACTCTTTCTAACCCTGCTTGTTTGTTTAATAATAACAATATACGGTTGAGGGTAGCGAGTTCGATTCCCAAAAGTTCCAACTAGGTTTTAAATCGATTTCGTCAAAATATTTGGAGCATCGTAATTCCGTACCTACACCACCACGGGAAACAACATGGAATCCAAAACCAAAGCATTTATTTTTATTAATTGAAGCTAAAATTGGTCGATTTTGCATCTTATAAGTTAAATACTGTCCATAGTTTACGCGAGTAGTACACATTTAAATAAAACACTTTAACGGTTTAAAACGCGATATATTAGTTAAACTTATTTGGAAATGATTTTTAACTTCGGCCCGACGTTTCGGATGCTTTGCAGCAGCCGTGGTCCACGGTGACTCTCACGTGACCACGGTTAAAAAATCATTTTCAAATAAATTTAACTAATATATCGCGTTTTAAACCGTTAAAGTGTTTTATTTAAATCGTATAAGTTGCATTTGAACCCTCTACTAAGTCTGGCTTTGTTTCCTCTATTATTAATGGGTACAACTAACTACGCTAATATTTAGCAAACATTTTTTTCGCTGTCGTAAATTGATAAATTGTGTTCCGCTTACGGTCGACTGCAACAGTTTATAAAAACTCGTAGTCTCGCTACGCTATTGTAGTTGACACTCGTGGCCGATCCAGAAATTCTGCTCTCGTGTCAGTGTTCCCGAGCATACATCAACTCTTCAACCATGCATAACAAGCACTATTCATTTTCAGGTGGTCTCGGCCAACTCGGCGTGGAATGCGCAAAATACTTACGTCAAAAATACGGACAAGAGAACGTCATACTGTCGGACATTATAAAACCGTCATTGGAGGTCGCGAACGACGGCCCATACATTTTCGCCGACATCTTAGACTTCAAGGGCCTCCAGAAAATTGTCGTTGACCATAGAGTGGACTGGTTAATTCATTTCTCGGCGCTCCTTAGCGCTATCGGCGAGCAAAATGTACCGTTAGCTGTAAGGGTTAATATTGAGGGTATGCATAATGTAATTGAACTGGCCAAGCAGTACAAATTGAGGATCTTCGTGCCGAGTACAATCGGTGCGTTCGGTCCGGACTCACCGAGGAATCCCACGCCAAATATCACAATTCAACGACCTAGGACTATTTATGGTGTATCCAAAGTGCACGCTGAGCTGTTAGGAGAGTACTATTACTATAAGTTTGGTCTGGACTTCCGCTGTCTTAGATTTCCTGGTGTGATCTCCAGCGATCCACCTGGTGGAGGAACAACAGGTAAGATGTTTTCTTACCCTTGTGGTGGATGATCATAAGTAGTCACTTAAAATAATATGTTCCGTGCTGTTGCTTTAACCAACATGGTAGCTCAATTGGTTCAAGCTACAGCACGGAACGCTAAGGATGCTGATTCAAGTCCTGCCCGTGTCATAATTTTTTTTTAACTAAAATCGATTTTTTATTTGTATAGTGCCATCATGTACAAATAACACGTAAAAGATCTTAAAGTTTTCGAAACAGGTATTATTAATTTTTTTTTCAAATTGACCCGTAGCTAACAAAAGCTATTTCTCTCTATATTTATATGTTAATACTATACTATAGGTCTGTGCATTTTGTACCATAAGTGAAAACGTAATATTGAATAAGTTTTTTAAACGCACTTAAGTGGCTCCAAATAGAAAATTTTTAAAAACTGTTTTTGAATACATACATATATATTTTTAATCTGTATTACAGATTATGCGATAGCTATATTCCACGACGTTTTGCGCAAAGGACGTTACCAATGCTACCTGAAGCCAGACACCAGGCTACCAATGATGCACGTGCGAGATGCCCTCAGAGCTCTCTCTGAGTACTTGGAGGCGCCGAACGAAATGCTCAACCGACGCGTCTACAATGTGACCTCTATGAGTTTTACGCCAGAAGAACTCGCCGATAAACTAGTTAAACACATTCCCGACTTTAATATCACGTATATGCCAGATAGTAGGCAAGAGATAGGTAAGTTTCGCATGAGCATTCGTCCAGCTTCCATCGCATCGAATTCACCTTGTATAAAAAAATCATATATGTAGAACGTGTGATCGTTCATCTTGTTCTTTCTCTATTTCCAATATACGAACATTTTATTAAACGTAAAGACTGACTGTAGTTTACGGGAGTAGTACACATTAAAAAAAACACATTAACATTTAAATAAAACACTTTAACGGTTTAAAACGCGATATATTAGTTAAACTTATTGGGAAATGATTTTTAACTTCGGCCCGACGTTTCCAAATAAGTTTAACTAATATATCGCGTTTTAAACCGTTAAAGTGTTTTATTTAAATGTGTACTACTTGCGTAAACTATAGACAGTATTTACATTAACGTTTAATACGCGATGTACATTAGGTAAATTCATTTGAAAATTATTTTAATTACTGCCCGAAGTTTCGGATGTTTTGCAAAAGTCGTGGTCACGGGGAGACTAGAATAATTTTCAAATAAGTTTAACTAATACACATCGCGTTTTAACTGTTGAAGTTTTATTTAAACACCTGTAAATATTATTGATAAGTTCTTTCCTCTATCTTAGAAAGATAGTTACTATGTCGTTAGAATTGATTAATTCCTGTTTCAGCTGATTCTTGGCCTCAAGTATTCGACGACAGTGAAGCACGAAGAGACTGGAAATGGAATCCCACGATAGATCTGGATAATCTGGTTAGCCTCATGGTAAAGGAGGTGAAGGAAAAAATTGCCACCAACGGCTACTGATTTTTTTCTTCCTGACACTATAATTCTTGTAAATATTAAAGCTTTTAACATAATGTTGAGTTTTTTGTTATTCTTTTTTTTATTAAAGACTGTAAGTTGGTTGCAATATTGGTTGAATTCCAGATTTAATGACCCTTTCTTAGGAATATAGGCTTCATTTTAGCTTATTATTTTTTCTCCTCTTAACTGGTGTAACTCAAAAATACGAAAATAGTTAAATACTGTCTATAGTTTACGCGAGTCGTACACATTTAAATAAAACACTTTAACGGTTTAAAACGCGATATATTTTAGTTAAACAGTCTCTCCGTGCCCACGGCTGAAGTTGAAAAAAATTTTCTAACAAGTTTAACTAAAATATATTGCGTTTTAAACCGTAAAAGTTTTTTATTTAAATGAAAATAGTTCCTAACCAGGATTAAAATAACATAAGCAATTTTTAAAACAAATGCGTTTTTTATTGGATCCAATTACCAACAATCTTATCTAACACATTGTTAGTAAGCATACTTACGTACAGTATAAACTTATAATATTACCTCCTATAATTACGATCACATAAATATTATGATTTACGTTTGAAAGATATAACTTGCGAATGTTGAATCAATACTCCGATAAAAACACTAAAATAATATTTAAAATTCGTCAAAAATTACACAAATCTACATTCGTAAAGATTCGCAATACAATTTTTTTTTATTGGGTGCTTGCAATGTTTTTCTAAACTACCCGCAAAATTAGAAAAACCTATCACTAAGCGTTTAAGTAGTGAAAAAGTAGTATATAGCCACAATAATTAACCACATTACAAAATCTTAAAAAAGCATAATTATTGCACTGAATTTATGAACATGGACGCATCCTGAATCGAATAAAGACTCGTGTAGGACTAATTCTATAAAAATAGAAATCCTACAACCCATTTGTTTATGCTAGAGGACACACACGATGCGTTGTCGATTTTGACATTGGACATTTGGAAATGCACAGACAACCGAAACGCGATTAAACTTCACTGCTTTTCCACCCGAAGACGGTGGTTTGTGACGCGGACGGAATTATCGATATTCCCACTACCCATTTAATATCCGGTTTGCCTGACGAAGTCCATCACGTTTAAGAAATAATATAAAATGATTAGCGACGTGGTGTAACCGCTAGCCTTACGAGGCACTTCAAATAAGTTAGACAGAGACAACACCTGTTCTCACAGTACCGTAGTCCTTATCGCTTAAGCATTCGTCCATGTACCGTAACTCTATTATCTAAAAACAACTATACCTAGCTTGACTATAAATGAAATTTAATTCGAATCACATACACTCAGTCTTCCATAAATTAATGAGTGCTATCTCATTAAATGAAACACTTTTAACGGTTTCAAACGCGAACTATAAAAGTTAGTTTCCATTTAATATATTCCGTGTTTTAAACCGTTAGAAGGGTTTTATTTAATGTGCACAACAGACAATACTGCACTCGCAATATTCGCTCAGCCATCTTTTACTTCTATATAATATGTACTTACAAATGTGATGTGATTACTGTCGGACCAAAGGGACTCATTTTCCCATTACAATTTTTATAAATATAGGCCTTTAACAAATAACAAAATACTAAAGTGACGTTAGCTACAATTAAAATGGCCGGATTTTTAAAAGCCACAATTGTATCCCTAAACATTTAGTGTCAAAGTCATAAACCTTTTGGTAAAGAGGTTTGTAAATACCAAACACTTATGCAGATACAATCCAACATTATGAATTAAAGCGATTTCTCATATAAAACATTTGTACATTACACAAAATTTCCAAGGCAAGCTACACATAACCAATAATATAAATGCTTAAAGTAAATCACATAATTACTCTCATTCGTTATGGCAAAACATACATTTGAAGGTAGTTTCACTGAAGCGTAATTAAACTGTTTATTATGAAAAATCTCGTTACTACTATGCCCAAAGCCACTAGTAGTAACACAGGGTTATTTGGATAGGGCATAGATGTGTTCTGTCCAAAACATTAATTATTCTTTCCCCGGAAATCGAACTAAAGCCTGCCCGTATTTAACGCAATTCGTTTAACATTAAACCACTGTTACGAATTAGCAATAAAAAAGGATTAACATTAAATAAAGTACTTTAAAACGGTTTTATAAGGCTTATATTAATCTTGTCCGAATTTTTAGAGACACATCTAGTATAGCATTTTAAAAGTGTGTTTTTCATAGACAGTCATGTTCAGGTTTGTGGAGTCAAGCATGACCATATGCCCATCATATTGTTTTTTATTTAAAAAGGATAAAACAAAAGAATACAATGTATAGTAAGATGCGACAGTAAATGATAACCATAGATATAGTCATATCGTTTCACAGATAATTTATTCAAAGAGAAAGTAAAAATAACTATATATATCTATAGGGGGGAAGAGTAATTAAACAAAAGATATCAGAGAAGATAATCATGTGTTACTTTGCTAATATATAATTGAGAATTTATCTTCCAGCTGATCAAGAGAAAAATAAGCAAACTAAACCCCGGTTTAACTGCATTTATTAACTACGCTTCAGTAAAAATCTTCAAAATTTACGGGTCATACATAAATTTATTTATACGATATTTATTGCTAACAGTCGAACACTAAAACTAAATTAATAATAGCTTTCCATTAAACATCTATCAAGATTTACCAAATTGACACTGGCAAGATTCAAACTTACGATCCCAGATCGTTTTTCTCAAACTCTACCATTCACTTAGCAAGGTTTAGTGTTCGACTGTTGAGTCTAAGTACATACGGAAGTAGTAAAGTCATATCGGTCTTCTATTAGTAGTGAAAAGTATGACTTGGTTTCTACCTGAAAACCCAGTTTTAAGAAATAATTTTCTGCCACAGACCATACAATTAAAGGCTTTCAGGTCATCCCGGACGTGGTGGAAATTGTCTTGTAAAATCGTAGCGGTTGAATTCCATACAAATCTATAAGCACCTGAAATAATTGTTATGATGGTGTTAATGACACTGAAAATTTTACTGTACCAATGATAAATTAAAAAAATTGTTAATTTATTTCGACTAAAAAAAAACCCCACACGGACGGGACATACCTGGATGCAGCATTAGCTCTATAAAGCTACCGTGTCGTACACGTCATCGTCGAATTTTCAACCTATTGAAACATTTACCTCATCGTCGCATGTATTTTCAACCTTAACACTTGCGCTGTAAAGTTCATGTTACGCTTGGCGCTTGAAAAATTTTGAGATTACAAAGTTTAACTCTAACACTTACGTGTTAAGGTATAATGTGCAATACCATGCGAAACATACATAGTTTCAAATGTAAAATTGTTTCATGGTTAAATAGAAGGAAACTTTGGATCTTTTTTTCTTAAATTATAAAACAAAGAATAGTTAAAACCGTATTTGTACGGTCGTATGCGCAGTTCGGGCGACCGATTGGTCGTTATTGACCAATCCAAGACGTTACAATAATAATGGATAAATTATTCTAATATAAGTCTTTAAAATACAGTCCACCGCTAAGTGAACTATGCAACAAAGGCTTTTAGATCCTTATACTATCAGCAATTGCATATACCACTCTACTAACGAAGTAATGATGAATTCAAAATGTTATATAGGAAAAATGTTTTGTAATGGGGAAAGGGGCATTCTTTTTAGGTGCTTCAAAAAGTCTAGTTTATATTATTTGGGGAGACCTCTATAACAAGAGAATTGCACATATCATATTACTCGAAAGTACTTATATTTATTTTGTTATCAAGCCTATGATGGTGGCGGCCTAGTAGTAGAAATAAAACTCATTTTGCGATCGATATTAACAAAACAATTGCTTCCTCATCGTGCCATTGACATTCTTCATATTCCTATACCTACTAGTCTAGTAACACTAATCGGCCGTCAAATGTAATCAACGGTTACGTAACAACTAATCAGAGATTAAAACAAATGCGATTAGCATGGCTTTGTTTACAATCACGTAAATGATATCGATTGTGGAAATGGTACAATTGTATAAGACGAGGGTTTGCAACAATGTGGCGCTAGACATTTTAATTACACTTAAAAATCATGTCATCTCTTTCATATATACTAATATATTAAGCAGAGAGAGTTTGTTTTATTTTAACACGTCAATCTAAAGAACTACTGGTTCGAATTGAAAATTTAAAAATTGCTGTTACTAATAGGAGCAGAAAAAGGAGCGGGAAATGTGAAAAATGGTCGGAAATTATTCTATCTCTGCGAGTTTTGGATATAAAGGTTTGCAAAAACAAATTTGGATGCCCAAATAGCTATTCCACGCGGACGAAGTCGCTAACACTGCTAGTATCGGAGTGAAGAGAGCAAGATGCCATTACTGTGCTGCTGATAAAACCAGCCGTAACAAATCACTTAAATAATCACGAATTTGCATCTTAATAATGAATATTATCTATTGTATTTTCAAAGGCCATTAGCACATAATTCTTAACGTACTAACACTATACAGCTATACTAGTGATAATGATAGTTTAACAATAACATTGCAAGTAAAAATTAAAACTAAGATAATAAAATTTTAAAAACATTGTACGTAATTACTTCTATGACGCAGTAATGGCAAGTATTGTATGCTTAGCAAATTAACAGTTACTTAGTGTATAATTTATATAAAAATTACATGTCATCTGTACATTGCAAATCTTAACGCTGTTTACAACAATAAAAATAAGAGGAAGTATTAAAAATTACGAATTATACATTTTAATTTCATCGAAGCGTTGAAAAAGTACGCTTCCAAAGACAGAAAAACATCTACATAATTAATAATATTTAAATTTTCGTCAAACAATGTTTGAAATTACATAATCATATATTGTGTCTTGCTACAGTTTAATTCCTTAGGTATATATTGTTTTTTCATATCGCAAAAAATGGACGGACGTATCAAGTAAGTGTCAGGTATAAATTGATTTGACAATGTTTATTTATTTATGTTATGTCGCTCAAAACCTAATCCACCAACATTATCAACGTGTTCCTTGTAACGTCTTATAAAATCGGCCTCATTGGCGTAATGATAGCATGACATCAATGGATCGTGGGTTCGACCAGATCCAACATGTTTCTTTCGATTTACAATTTTCCGAGTGCTGTAAGACTTCCTCTGGAAATCTGGATATGGAATAGGTGGTAGGAATATCAAAATTCCGTTTGAGCACAGGTAAAACGCAGCGTTTCGTTTTCAGTCTGTGGATTTCCAAATATCCAAAGCCAAAAAAGGTCGACAGCGCATCTTGTTTTGACGTTATATGGCTGGGGTGTTTCACCTACCATCCTTGTCCCCCCTTGTTACCCCATGCTTGTCTGTCCACCTCTAGTATAAAAAAAATCAATATACTGGCTACTTAGCGGCCACCCAAATATCATCACCACCAATCATTCTAATTATCACTCATTAAACACTTATCTTGGAAAATTAGATATGCGTCACCGGTGAGTCTTATCAGTTTATGCTATCAACTTAGATCGACGGAATACCATATCGAATCATCTATACAGGAAATTCCTGTTCTTTTCCATAAACTAACTAACCATTCTTTTAATTGTTTGCTCCAAAAGCCTTACCTTTCCAACTCTTAAGTTAGTTTAAATACAACACTTTAACGGTTTAAATCGCGATATATTTTAGTTAAACTTGTTTATCGTCACGTGGTCACGGGGAGACTACGGCTGCTGCAATGCGTCCGAAACGTCGGGCCGTAATTAATAATTTTCAAACAAGTTTAACCCAAATATATCGCGTTTTAAGCCGTTAAATTGTTTTATTTAAATGTGTACTACTTGGTAAACTAGAAACAGTCTTGAGTTTGTTTCACTCCTACTTGCTATGTATACTTTTCTACCTTTTCTTTTGTTTATTATTCCCGACTTAATAAGTATTTTTCTATTTTTTTTCTCCTAAGTCAGGTTGCTTGAAAGAGATCGCTGCTTAGCGATAAGGCCGCGTTTTATTTATAAGTTACTTCGTAAGATTTTCCCTCTTTTATATGAAAAAAAAAAGCTACACTAAATAAAGAAATAATAAAAAAGTGGACGCCAGTTTGAGGTACAGTGATCATTTGGTGTCCTTGTTGTATGTAGAGAATAGTTAGAAAGAGACAATGCTCTATTGAACCGTATTTTTGCATAGTTCATTTTTTGTTTATACAGTGAAACATGGCTAATGTAGCAATTATTGAGGGTTTCCAATGATCCAGTCTTCTAATTCAAGCGGTTAAAGTTAGTCACGAACGCGCGTTTGTTTGTAAACAAACAATATGTCATTGCGTGGTTGAACCTGATTAGTTTGTCTTCTGTAACTCCTTAACACTTATAACGCAACGCATGTTTAACAAGAAGATATTACCTTTGAAAACAATTGACTCGCGAACCCTAATCCGATTTGCAGTGTTGCATTTGTTCCCTGGTCATGTTCAGCTCCTTCAGCCTCTGACGAAGTTGTGCCTTCTTCAAATTCGTCATTATCTGCGTTGACTGGTACAGCCATGAACCCTGAAATCGTATATAGCCTTGAATTAACACGAATCTACTATTGCTTTGTATCAGTTATTTTACATTGTCTTACAATTGCTTGATTGCGCAAGAGTTTCTAAAGGCGGGGAAAACAATACATTGTTCTGGCTGTCCAGCTAAATAAGTTTAAGTAAGATAGAACAAGAGAAGCGGTTCCAAAAATGAACATCCTCACAAAGAAACTAAGATTTCACTTTATATTCAGTTCATTATCTTATGTATACTATATCTATGTAATGAACAAAAACATGGTTTCTAGAAAAATCTCTTATAATGCCTATTAATACACCGGTTTTTAAACGCTCATAATAATAATATAACATAAACATAATATAAATCTTAAGAAGCAATTTTGGAGCAAAATTCTATTACACCGTTTTTGATCTCCATTTAAAAGTATTTTATTCATCGACACGAGAATTCCCAATTTACCGTATCTAAATAATCAAATATATTTCAATAATTATCCTATGCAACTCTGTAGATATATCCAAATATTTCAACTTTCCCTATAGATGTCTAAACATAGTTAAAAAGGTCAATGTTATCTCGTTAGCGGCTTCGACGCCGGCCGGTGCATTCGCTAGACAGGTACGGTTGTTCAAGGTCCTTACGTTTATATCTGCGGTCGATAATGTTACAATATCAATGTAGACAAAGCTATCTATATAAGCCTTTCTATTTTAGTCTTTGAGTTCCCACAGCTGGGCGGCATCAATCTGCCACATACAAATACAGACAGACAATAGATAGGTACCTACAATTCTTTGATTATGGGCATCGCTCCTGATTGCGATTTGACCTTATTTGAGTTTGGATATTCGGAAATCCACAGACTGAAAACGAAACGGCAAAAGCGAGCTAAAGTCATACTTGATTACAAATAGCTCCAGAGATGCAATGTTTTTACATCTTTAAAAACTACTCTGTACGTATATTATTAATATTGACTAATTATTAAGGACTAAAAAAACATAAAAAAACTCAACGTCTCTCTTCTAGACAAAAAGCAAGGCGACCATGAAATTGGAAGACCTTCTATTTATATGCGCAAGCGCATATTAGAAATGCTAAGATTAGTTTTTATTGCTGTGACATGTATATAACCGGTCTAAACGACCATACTACATAATATATATTCTGTATTACAAAATGTCACGGATGGTACTAATTTAATTATTGTTTATTTTTATCCCGAAAACAAAGTTTAGAAAACTACATGACGCATACCAAAAAGCTGATAGAGGCTAAATATTACATCTTGTTTTCACTGTTTGACGATGATATCATAAATTCAAGGTTACGTCCTCAAACTTCGTACATATGTATTGAGTTTGATTAATATTGAATATTTTTTATTAATTTAAATTGAATAACATATAAAGTATTATTTGTTCTTATACATATATATTCGCAACACTTTCGTTTTTCATTTAAATACAATAAAGTCCGAAAAAATCGAATAAAGCGTTTGGTCAATATGAAGCTGCTAGAGGCAGAGTAGCCTAATTGCAAATTTATGACTTGATATCTATAGTTTAAAACTGTTAATCTACAAGAGCATACTAACCGAAAATTGTTAACATAATTCTTTCACAAATATGTAATACCTATAAAATCATGTATTTCTTATTAGGCCACTCTGCCTCTAGCAGCCTCATATCATTATGAGATTTTTTATTCACTAGCTGTGTCAGCGACTTCGTCCGCAGAATCGTAATTTTGAGCATCCAAATTCGTTTTTGCAAACCCAGTCATCTTTATAAACTTAAGATGTTACCCACGACGTTGGTCGCGTCCCTTCCCGTCGTTCTTGCACGTTAATCTTAAAAGATTAGACATAAAGCGTCGCGGAAGAAATATTTAAAGAGGAATCATTCTTTCATACATATTTTTTGAGTATCTAGCCTTAGCCTTCCTCGATAGATACTCTAAACAACACAAAAAGATTTAATTCGAACCGGTAGTTTCTGAGATTAGCGCGTTTAAACAAAACAAACAAACTCTTCAGCTTTATATATTAGTATAGATATTCTTAATTTAAAGTTAAGATCGGCAATCGTGCGATTTGTTTTCTCGTCGAAAGCGAATTCTTCTAAATATATTTCAAGTGCTTTAACCTTTATCCACATGTGCAATGAGCGTTCGTTACAAGGTTACGGCTTTAATTGTTACTGTAGGATGTAAATTGTAAACTTTGTCTTTTATTTGGGTTTTGAAAACCGCAAATCCCACACGTTTTTGGTGGTTTTATTTCTCGCTACATTTTTTGGAATTCCTCTATTTTATAATTTCTCGTGGTGACATTAAATTATTTCTTGTTTTTTTTTTGTTTATACCACAAGTAGTTCCTAAATAATTTTCTTCTTTTAACGTCCGACTATTGTATATGGAAACGACATCACTAGATGAGACCGCTAGAGGCAAAGTGGCCTAACCGCATTTTTTATGACTTAAACTACAAGAGCACAGTGACATTAAATTGTTAACAAGCACCTGCTTTGCATTAAGTGCAAACTGATCATTAAGAGATGAAAACTATATTTGATTCGATTCTATATTGGAAAAAAATACGACACGGGCAGGATTTGAACCGGCATCCGCGTCCCGTACCATTGAGTTAGTGTCGTAATTTTGTTCCATGTATAATCGATGTTTAATATGTATAGTGCCATCGTGTGAAAAATATTGAAGTTTTCAGATGACAACGTGTTCGTGTTGTAATGGATTAGCAAATAAAAATAATTAGATACGTTTTTGTCAAGGTCAATTGATCAAACCGAATTTCATTATTTAAAGCATTTATGTTATATCACTAGATTATATACAATCTAGTCAAATTTGTATAATATTTCACAGATATTTTTCCTCATCTTGACATTGGGCTTGTTCTAATAATATGTGGCTAAAGACATCAATTGTACCAATGAAAGTCATCTCAGAAACGATGCAATACAGAGTATACATAGATAGGAATTTTGGGGGGTGAAATAATTTCAAAGTATCTTTCAAAAATAGGGGGGACTATACCATCTAATGGGTAAAGCAGCTTATATGGTTTTAACACATATGTCTATCACTTAAGACTAGTATGCTTTAACTTGCAATGTAAAAAAAATACTCACTGTGCTAGGTAAATGTCTAAAGTATTTGTTTTGGCGTGGCTATGCATATTACATATAAATACATACAAGATAACACAAGCATACAATAAGTAGATATCAAAATGTCTCCTGATAACCTAAATGAACATATTAGGCTTTACAACCTACAACTTCCTTTTCAGTACAGTGTAAAATCTATTACTACCTAACAAAGTTTATAGTTTATATGTTATATACATATAAACTATGCTTTGTTATGTTAAATGAGTGCATAATGTAAGCACGATGTAATCTCGGGATTCGATTCCCGGTTGAAGACAGTCAAAAGGTGCTTTCAACACAGGAAACAGGCAGATAGCCGTCATTGTCTAAAATTAAACATTCGAAAGTTTTCTTTGTGATAACATTCATCCTTCGAATATGTATATATCGTAAATCGTAATACTATAGTACAAATTGTCAGCATTTCCTAAAGCTCTAAAGGCTGTAGTATGATTTTATTTAAACATAGGTTTATATTATTCAATGCCAACAAATTATGAATATATGCCAATGCCGTAAATAAAGACAGAGTAATTACTTAACAAGTGAATTAGATAATAAAGGTTGACAGTGAGACAATGAGAAACAACAGGTGGATGAAGTATAGACAGAAAAATCAATACTAAGAATCGCATTATTAATTATTGATTGTTATCAATACTAAGCTAAGCAGAATATCTATTGCAAAACCATAAGAGGTGCATGTTTATATATATTATGAAATATTTAAATTGTAAAGGCTTGTCTTTAAGCATGTTTAATAATAAGGACTACTCACCACCATGATCATACAGTTCAATAATATTGGTATACAAAATACCACAGATATAAATAGTCCTTTGCTGTCAAAGTACTGTTGCCTTGAGAATAGAGTCCAATTTCGTGCAGCCACTTCGTTTATGCTCTCCGAAAAGTATACTAGGAGTACTAAAACAAGATTTGCAATTTAAAACTTAAGCATCAAAAATATTTATTCAGATAAGAACTTAAGAAACGTAGAATGCTTTAAAAGATCTTGTATTGTGCTATTTAGCATTCAATTGGCCAATCCGGAAAATTAGGCAAGGTTATTTTTAGAAGCTCTAATCCTGGCAGTAAATGAAAAGAAAAGCAAATTTATTTTTTTAGGCAAAGTTTTAGAGGTACGATTATAAATAGAAATATCTCAATTAAAATGTTAACTAAATACCGAAGAATACAAATTTTAGAAAATAAGAGAGGTACAATGCACTCACTTCATTACTTAACAGAACAACAAATACTTTTTGATTATATAACTCATATGGAAATAATTAAAATTTCAATACAATGTTTTGAATAATACAAAGTTTAAACTTTGGCCTTGTGCTAGAATAATTTAGCATATTACGATTTGATATAATATGTATTATAGAATGGAAAGGCATTATTTTAATATCTAAGTGTAAGTTAAATAGAATATGTGCTACTTACAGAGTGTGATAAAGAGGATAATTTGAAAATTGCCATAGTTCCTAGTAGAAAAACACATAAATGTCACCACAACATGAAAAGACAAGAGTGCTATGAGCCAAGGGTCACCCCATTCAATCTGAAACAAACATTGTTGGTTCTATTAAATAGGACACTCCAATATCCTTTTCTCTATAGAAAATATACATTTAAGTGATTATTTCTTACAGGCAAAGTTGTATTAGCACTTGTTAAGTCTAAATAATTTATGTAATGGCATATGAGTGTCTCAGACATACATTAAATAATATGACATGCCAAGTACAAGTATATGCAAATACATTTAAATTATTAATACTTAATCACGGATAAAAAGTTTAATTTTAAATACAGCAAATACCTAGTACTCGATATGGGATAGAAGGATAATGACTCGTCAAATCAACTTGTTTTTAAATAAAAATGCCCATACAGTAATTAACTATCAACACTAATTCTTATTGAAGATTAAGTAGGCGTCGCAGCGTTACTAAAATATTAAACCTACAAATAAGCCAGCAAATAAATAGTTACTAACACTTTTGATGTACGACACAAAATCGGAAATTTCGTTAACTTCAACTACACCTTCCATATCAATTTGTACTGCTTGCGAATTATTTAATGTTTCTCCGCTAGGAAAATAGAGATATGTCCAAACACGAATCTACAAAACTAAAAACTCAAAACTTGAATCTTGAGTTTCGCTAATTTCATAGTATTTGATAGATAATCTCGCTCTGATGTCAATGTCAAATGTTTTATGATGCGCGATGCATGGCAACAATTTTTTTAATTATATCATTATTAGTAAATAATAAACCATGTTTTTTTCTATGAAATTTATTTTAAGTTTTGTTAAAAAATACGTTTGAAAAGTAGGTCTGCTAATGTAGAGCTGTTCTATGACAATATACATAAATTGACTAAAATATATTTTCAATCTGTGGTTAGCTGTGATACAACGTCAACGAGGACGGTATTTTCTAAAAATATAAATATTTTGCTGATGCTAAAATTAAATGGCGAAGGCTGGTTTTGTCGAATTCCGGTTTGAATAAATCTATTTTGAAACTTTGCAATGTGGTGCTTTAGAAAACTATTAAACTTATCTTATTAACAATACCGTAGAATACGTAAAATACATTTTTAATTCATAAGTAGATACCGATGTTTACAAAAGGCGTCAATTCATTGTTTCGCCGACAATAACATTTGTGTGTACCAAAACCGGCATCTCAATATGCATTCCTTTACAAAGTCTGTGTGTATTCTACTTCTAAATATTACTTTATGTGTTTTGAGTGCTCAGTTTGGAAGTATAAAAGGAGCAAGTGATAGATATAAGGCAGATTTAAAAGACTGCGGGCCTTTTGATAAACAATGCGTGCATTTAGAAGAGGACTTAGCGCTTCTCTCTTGTGCACTAAATATAAGTCATAGTAATAAATCTCAATTGCCATTCTCCTGTCAACATAAGATATGGCTTTATCAATTAGAATTATTGGATAACAACTTTCTTGAACACAAACTAAAAGAAACATGTCTGGACGAACCCATTATTTTAGACTGCTTAAATTCAGTTGGAAATATACTTGATTGTGTTTTGAAAAGAAGGCCAAGTGTGAAAGCAAAGACATGTTACAAAGCAATAACTAAAATGGAATCTTTGATGTTCAATGATTGGCAGATTACAAATAATTTCCTAAAAAACTGTAATGATGACATACAAACATTGTCTTGTGGTCGTATACCACCAGATGTAAGAACGCTGTCACAAATGCACACTTTAAAATGTGTTCAAAACCATGAGCAAAACTTAAGACCTAAATGTCAAGCTGAAATAGCTGTGCTTGATGAAATGAAATATAATACTCTTCAACTAGATAAATTGGTCTTTGCCGTTTGCAATATTGATCAAAGAAATTTCTGTCCAGATGAAGTTCCTGGTACACTTTTAATGTACAAATGTCTTGTACGTCATAAGTATGAGAATAGTAAGTTTGATTTTCAAAACCCACTGCATGTATATAGTTATTCTTATCATACTAATGCTTTTTAATTTGATAAATTTTACAGGGATGACAAAAAGATGCCAGGACCAGTTATTTTATGCTCAAAGAAATATTGTGATGAATTACAAAATGAGCAAGGGCTTGGTAAAATCTTGCAAAGAAGACATCAGGAAGTATCATTGTCGTAAAGGTGTTGTTGATGATAAAGATGTACGTCTTGCACAAATTTTACTATGTTTAGAGAATGTGACAAAAAATGACAGTATTAAATTAGCTCCAGAATGCATAGCAGAGATGACTGATCACAGAAAGATGTTGATGGATGATTATAGACTATCACCAGAATTGATGCAAAATTGTGCTAATGATATAACAATGCTTTGCAAGGGTGTGGAAGCAGGTGGTAAAACCATACATTGTTTAATGGAACATGCTAGACCTAGAAAGCGAAAAGAACGACGAATAAGCATTGCCTGTCAAAAGTCCTTAGAGATCTTAGTCCAAGAAGCGGACCCGGGTGAAGACTGGAGAGTGGACCCTATTTTACGTAATGCATGTAAACCCGTCGTTGATCGTGCTTGTAGGGAAGTGAATGGTGGTAATGGTAGAGTAATGTCATGCCTCATGGAGAAACTTGGCACCTCTTTAATGAGCCCGGACTGTGAAACTGCTCTGATTCAAATACAATATTTCATATCAAGAGACTTCAAACTAGATCCTCAATTATATAAAGCTTGCAGATATGATGCAGTGACTCAGTGTAAAGCTAAACTTCAATGGGCTGATGCAAGTGAACATGAATCACAGAAGGATCCACTAATCTTACCATGTCTATATAATTATGCATATGATTCAGAGTTGAAAGGAATTTTGCAATCAGGGTGCGAACAACAGATAAGACGGGTCATGAGACAAAGAGCAGTCAGTGTTGACTTACTCCCTGAAATTGCCGACACGTGTATAGATGACCTAGCCAATCTCTGCTATGAAAATACTGGGAGGGGTGAAGAAATACAGTGTTTACAAAGCAAAATTAGAGATCTTTCATCAAAATGTAAGGAAGTTGTGACCAATTTTACTGAAACCCAATCTGGCCATATAGAACTAAATGCCATAGTCAGTACAAATTGTAGGGTTCCTATTGAAAAGCTATGTGCATCAGAATTAAAAAGCAAGACAGACGATGATGGGATATTGGATTGTCTTATCTCACACAAGAATGATCCTGAAATTAAAACAAATTTAAAATGCAGAGCAGCTATCGAGCATGAACAATTGATCTCATTAAAAAATTATAAGTTCACAAGGAAGTTCAAGAATGCTTGCAAGTCATATGTAGTTAGGTTTTGTCCGAAAGCACAAACAAAAAGTCAGGTTGTGACTTGTTTGAGTGAAATAGTTAGGAATGACACAATTTCTAAGAGGAAGCATACAATTTACAAAGAGTGTCGCCAACAACTGCGCAGCCAACTATTTCAGCAAAAGGAGAATGTGGATTTAGATCCTGAATTAAAAGAGGCTTGCAAGAAGGATTTACTTGAATATTGTTCCAATATACCTCATGGGGAATCGGCAGCTTTAGAATGTCTTCAGACAGCTAAAACCAAACTTAGTGATACATGTAAAAAAGCCATCTTTGTTGTGAGAAAGCAAGAGTTTACAGATAATGCAATAGATTATCATTTAGTGACAAGTTGCAGTGATATGATAGACCTTTATTGTCACAATACTGAACCAACAGTATTATTAGACTGCTTAAAGGTAAAGAAAGCTCGTATCTTCTTCCTTTTTTTTTATTTTATTGCTTGCTTCTCTATTTCAACTTAAAAATGAAGTGAAGATCTTATTTAAGTGCACTTTGATGAATACTAAACTAAAATAAAGTCATATAGTTTGCTTGTTTGAATGTGCTAATATCAGGAACTACTGTTTTGTATTGAAGAAATCCCTTTTGTAATGGTTAGGACTTTAATCGCGGATGAGTTTAGGCTATAAAATATCAGGCTGCGTCTATAGAAGCCCAGAATATGTGGGAACGTATTTTCCACATTTCCCTCTATTTCTTAATAGAGAAAATGAAAATGAATCTTTGCGGGCTTCTGTTGCGTGCGAAAACGATACAAGAATCTAAGAAACTATATCAGTGAAAGAAGGATTCTTCCTTAATTTGTTAAAAAATGTTAAAAATGTTCGCGATAGTATGTGCCTATTTTTTAAGATTAACTCGCAAGTCGCTCGTCGTGGGTAACAGCTATAATTTATAAAATTGGGTTTAGGTTACATGCAAAAATAAATATAATGCCTTAAATAACGATTCCAGTTAAATAAAGTCGCAAGCGCAGCAAGTCTATAAATAAAAAAATGCCCTATGAATTTTATGTTGTACTTTTATAGGCACACCGTGAAGAGACTGATTTCGACAAAAACTGTAAATACGTAGTGGTTAACAGGATGATTGAGCAAAATATGGATTACAGGTTTAACAACAACCTACAAAACGCTTGCAAAGGAGATATTCAAAAGCATTGCACACGAATCATTTGTAAGTGGTTAATGTAAAACACATAATTTATGATACTAAGGTAAACTGACAGATAAGCAGGACTGGCATAAATTTCGTTTTCAGTAACTGAACCACAAGACGTAGAGTTACAGGGTAAAGTATTGTATTGCTTGAAGGAGAAATTCAGGGAATTAAAATTGGAGAAGACCTGTGAGAATGAACTTGCCAATGTCCTAAAAGAGCAGGCGTTGAACTATCGCCTAGATCCACTTCTGGGGAAGTTGTGTAAAGCAGAAATCCAAACAATTTGTGCCGTCCCAAATGACTCTATAACCAATTCGGATGGTCAGGTAAAAGACTGATGAGACAGAATTTATTTTAGACTATTTATAGCTTATTAGCTTTTATTCACAATAATTATAAATAATATTCGGTTTCATTTTATAGTTGTTGTTTTTCTTTTGTTTTCCCCCGGCGGGGTTTAAATTTTTTTTTTTAAGCAGTTTTTATTTAAATGTGTACTACTCGCGGTAAAAAAAGGACGCACTTATAGATGTTTATTTTGCTAGCATGCACAAAGAGACACACTCCATTTTCCTCCCCCCACCTTACCATGACTGCTGCAATGCACGCAAAACGTCGGGCCGTGTTTAAAACAAATTAACTGATTTGTTTCAATTTAGCCTTTAAAACTGTCTAGTCTTAAAAAAAAGTTTCAACTTTTATTTATTGTGTTGATATACTTTAAAAATAATTGCAGGTGGAAGAATGTTTAAAAAATGCTCTCTTAAACCATAAAATAGTGTCTGCTGAATGTGCAAGAGAAGTTGTTCAGATAATTGAAGAAACTGAAGTGGATATTGAGGCAGATCCACTTCTAGAAAGGGCTTGCGCTTTAGACTTACTCAAGTATTGTAAAGATCTTGAGCACGGGGCTGGCAGACGTAAGATCAGCAGATGATTTTTGTTCCATACATAACTATATGCATAAATTAATTAGTTTTATATAAACTGTCTCCCAGTAAGAGTTCATAATGATTTAATTGTCTCTGCAGGTCTAAAATGTTTGAAAATTATTCTAAACGACAGTAACAGAAAACTGGAAACCGAATGCCAAAAGGAATTATCAAGTCGACTGGAAATGTATAGATATGTTGCAGCAGTAAGAAAAACTAATAATATCATCAATCATACATTTTTCTCTATTAAATAAAATAATATGCTTGTTTTTTTAGGTAAATGTCGTGGAGAATCTAGGCGACGTTTATAACGAAATATCATCATCACCTTCAAAGAAATACTTTTTACTTGTAGGGTTCTCAATTATAGGTTTAATTTTTATATTTGGACTGTATTGCGGTAGAGTTACGAAAAAAGCTATGTATGTAAAAAGAAAATAGACAAATTAAGTATAATTCAAATTAGGAAAAATAAACAATCATACATTGAATTTTGAAATTTTTGTTCAAAAATTCTCATCAAATTCCATGTCTTCTACAGCATTGTTTTCAGGTTTTATACTTTGTTTTGCTTCCGTCTTGGGTTCAATTTTCACTTCTCCTTTAAGTTTTTGACTTTCTTCAAAATACTGGTTAGGATGGTTAATACCTAATCCCATAGAGCTGTTATGTACAACATCAAAGTATTTACTGCATGCTATTTGATAATGACCACGTTTGGCTAAATCAACAACATCATTGATAGCTGAAACAAAGATTATAACATATCATCAAATAAAATCTGCAGGAATTAGTGAAACAGTGCAAGCAAAAACAGGTATTAGGAATTTTTCATATTGTACATTATGCACCATTATTACCTTGAAGTTCAAATCCGTAGCCTTTCATTTTGTTTTTTAAAACATTTGCATCAGAGTGCTTGAACGGACAACCATGACAATCTCCAGGACCCACAGTATTACTTATTATCTTCAAGCAGTTGAATGGGCTATAATTCTTCTTGCTACCTTCTTTACCATAATTATATCTTACATTATAAGCATACTGTTTCTCAAACTTGTCTAAATCCATTATTTTTGTAAACTCTTCTCTCCAAAACCTAAGCGAGTCTTCTAAAGTGACACCGATACCTTTTAGGAATAGACCATATTGTAATCTGCCTCCATGTTTTAAATGGTGAGCAGTTCTGAGATGCTCATGTAGCTGCCTCATACATAATGGGAAGGATTTGCTGGATAATGAATCTAGTGTCTCTATTGGTACTGCAGCTTTGGTATCACTATAATTATTGCCTGTATAAGTCTGATGCAGTCCTTTTAACAGGGATACCAATCTTTCATCTTGCTCTACTTCACTCAAATGGTGAGATGCTATAGCTAAACTCTGTCGTAAATGTATTCTGTATTGGGCTATCAGCACAGATATAAAATCCTTATGGGGAACATAGGCATATCCTCCTTTCAAATAAACTTTCCTGGTCTTTACCAAATCCAGGACTTCATAAAACTTCACTTTATAAAACTTCATATTGTCAATATTTTGGTGGTGTGTGGATTCTCTTAGATTAATTAGAATTTCGTTTTTCTCTTCTTCAGAAATGTTTGTATAGCATAAATTATTGATACGGAAAAATGTGTCTACAGCATCACTGGTCATAGTCATGAATCTCATGCGAAATAATTCTATCTCCCTGGAAACAAACCATCTTCTTAATTCTTCTGTTCTACAATATGCTAGTCTAAGAATGAAGTGCGCTATATGATCTTTTCGTCTAGCTTGTAAGTCTGCTTCCTTAGTGCTAAAATCTGTTTTTTCACAAAGCTTAACATAGTACTTAAGACCCTGAGTCCTTAAATCACTTAAAACGTATTCAATCCATTCTTCGGAGTACAGCCGCAAGCCTTTTAATGTTGTTGCAGTTGCCAAGCTCCGTAGTAGCGTAAGTCTTTCAAGAGCTAAAGTCTCGAATTCTTTTAAGGCGATATCTTCAATTGGAGGAATTTTATACAATTGTAAATCATGAGGATACGACTCTAAAAGACCACCAACAACTGCTGTTTTTGTTGACTTTCTTTTAATTTTGAAATCCATTATTATTTACGAATTTTAATATAAACCAACAAAATATGCAGCTCCACTTTTTAACTTTGACAGTGACATATTTTCGCGGGCTTTTGAACGTCTACCAAAGATTTTTTTTTCAAATACTTATCTTTTATCGTCTGGGTATGAGGTACTTAACACCGCGCTGTTTACAATAACTATCTACTAAAAATTAATAATATGAAATAAAAATCAAAATTTAACAAAAAACCTGCAATTTTATGTTTGTAATAAAAAGGTGATTAATAATAACACGGAAACATTGTAATGCGATCATAACGTTAAGCACTTATGTCTGTGGTAAACCTCGTGTCCTATGTCAATGTCAGCCAGTTAGCTATCAAGTCATCTTTCAAATATAATTAATTTCATTTTCATTTCTAAATCTAACTCCGTCACTTATGTCACGTTATAGGTTTTGGATTTTAATTAAATCTTTAATTACAAATAATTAAAACTTACATTTTATGTAAAAACATAAGACAATGTTTGTGCGTATTAGCGAAGTGACAAACTAACTTTCTTTAATTTAAAAGTAATACTCCAGTTTAAAAATGGTTCTAAACAAGCAGTCTTCGCTTGACGATTTAGTTCAATACACACAGTTATTTAAGCCTGTAGCCACGATATTACAAGGGACCGTACTGCCTTTTCTAATAATTTATCCTATAATCTTTTATTGTTGGACTTTTGTGTACGGTTTCAATGAGAATTTCGAAGCTGGCTTCGTAACTGTTGCTGTGGTGGCAAGCATACAAATCTTGATATGCCTATGTTGTTACTGGAGTGTGCACATTCAGTGTTTCCTTTCGTGTTCGCCGGTAAGTATTGCGTCATATATCATTCAAGATAGTTAAATATTTTCCTGAGAAGAACACTCTATAAGGTTATAATTTGCAGGAAAGTAACCCTATACGTGCGGAAATTGTAAAAGTCGTTCCAACATCAAACAATGGATTCCCAGAAATTGTTAAACTTCATCATACAAAGGTATTGTATAATAAAATTCTTATATATTATAAATCTGGAAAGCATATGCTTGCTAAAATGCTGTGCTCCCAAAGTCTATATCTACATATATATATGTCTATATATTTACATAAGATGGTTACCCAAGTCCTATCTTTGGGTGACACTTTAATGGTTTGTTTATGTATTAAAATAAATGAGAAATAATAACATATTCCTTTAATAATTTTAGTCCACAAAACGAGGTAGTGATAATCCAGATGTATGGTTTGTGTTCCAAAAAAGCAAGTACCTCTATGATTGGGATAAGAAGTCTTTCCAAAGTGTAGAATTTCCTGTAAACAGAACATATGAGGAATACTTGGATTCTAAAGGTTATTCGGATGATGAATCAATTGATTTGGCAGAGAAAGAATTTGGAAAAAATGAAATGATCATGGTAACACGCGATTAATTACAATTAATATTCATTAATTCATTATCAATCTCCCTACCTATCAAATTTAACTAAAGGGGATTAAAATTTTACTAGTTAGGCTAAGTATGAAGTAGATAACTTTTGTTTGTGGAATTAAGTATTAATTTACTTTTTTATAGGTTGTGCCTGAATTCATGGAATTATTTAAAGAAAGGGCAACAGCACCATTTTTTGTGTTCCAAGTCTTCTGTGTAGCCCTCTGGTGTCTGGACAAGTATTGGTACTACTCTATCTTCACTCTTGTAATGTTAGTGATGTTTGAATGCACATTAGTTCAGCAACAATTAAGAAACATGGCAGAAATCAGGAAAATGGGAAATAAGCCATACAATATAAATGTGTATAGAAATAGAAGGTGGCGACAAATCATGAGTGATCAGTTGCTTCCAGGTGATATTGTGTCACTTACTCGCTCTGGTAATGATAATTTAGTACCATGTGATATCGTCCTGCTAAGAGGATCTTGTATAGTAGACGAATCTATGTTGACCGGTGAAAGTGTACCACAAATGAAAGAGCCACTTGAAAATAACAAAGACATAAAACAGAACTTGGACCCAGAGGGTGATGGAAAGTTGCATATGCTGTTTGGTGGCACAAAGATTGTACAACATTCTTCCCCGGGCAAAAATGTATTAACCGGTCTTAAAGCTCCGGATAATGGTTGCATTGGTTACGTCGTACGAAACGGCTTTAACACTTCACAAGGAAAGCTGTTAAGAACTATTCTGTTTGGTGTAAAAAGAGTAACAGCTAACAATTTAGAAACATTTGGTTTTATATTGTTTTTGTTGATTTTCGCAATTGCTGCTGCTGCATATGTTTGGATCAAGGGCTGCGAGGATCCTGAAAGAAATAGATATAAATTATTTTTAGAATGTACACTGATTTTGACTTCAGTAGTTCCTCCAGAGTTGCCTATAGAGTTGTCCTTAGCTGTTAACACATCCCTACTGTCCCTATCTAAGTTAGCTGTGTTCTGTACGGAGCCTTTTAGAATTCCATTTGCTGGCAAGGTTGAAATTTGTTGCTTTGACAAAACTGGAACTTTGACTAGTGACAATTTGGTAGTTGAAGGAGTTGCTGGTGTAGGGGAGCATAAAGACGCAACCGTGATACCTTTATCGGAAGCACCTTTGGAAACGGTTCAGGTCTTGGCATCTTGTCATTCTCTTGTTCAACTAGACGATGGAGTGGTCGGTGATCCCTTAGAAAAAGCGACATTAAAAGCGGCTGAATGGAACCTAACGAAAGGCGATGCCGTAGTGCCAAAGAAAGGAAAATCTCCAGGGCTTAAAATCGTTCTCAGAAATCACTTTGCTAGTGCTCTAAAAAGAATGTCTGTAGTAGCAGGCTATCAAGTCAATGATAGAGGATTTTTTGAGACACATTACATAAGCAGTGTAAAAGGTGCTCCAGAAACGATTAAAACTATGCTAAAAGAAGTTCCTGAACATTATGATCACGTTTATTTAACGTTGTCGCGTAGAGGCGCAAGAGTTCTTGCTTTAGGTTATAGAAATTTAGGAAAATTGAGCTCGCAAGAACTGAGAGAGTTATCGAGAGAAGATGTTGAAACAGACCTCACATTCGTCGGGTTTGTAATAATATCCTGTCCATTGAAAACTGACTCTAAGAAAGCGATAGCTGAAATTGTAAATGCCTCACATTCCGTAGTTATGATAACTGGGGACAATCCTTTAACAGCGTGTCATGTGGCTAAAGAACTAAAATTTACGCAGAAAGACGAAGTGCTAATTCTTACTAAGAGTGACGAAGATTGGAGTTGGAAATCTATTGACGAAAAGGTGGATCTGCCAGTTGTACCAAATAAGACATTCAAAGAACTGACAAATAAATACGATCTATGTATCAATGGGGAGGGTTTGACATTCCTAAATGAACATTATCGTAAACTTTTACTTGATATCATTCCATTTATTAAAGTGTTTGCAAGATTCGCACCGAAACAGAAGGAGTTTGTGATAGTGACACTGAAGTCGTTGGGATATGTTACATTGATGTGTGGCGATGGTACTAATGATGTGGGCGCTTTGAAGCATGCTGATGTAAGTAGATTAAAGCAATAATTTTTGTAATATATGCGACATTGTCTTGATGTCAGAATTATTATATTACAAAGACTTACATTACATGTTCTTATTAAAAAGTAAATCAAAAGTCTATAATTTAGATATTCACCTAAATTATAAAAGCAGTTAGTAAATTTTAATCTCTTGTTGTTTTGGGTAAGAAGTCTTATGTTATTGTAAAGTTAAATAACTAAGTAGCTTTTAAAATATATTTTATATTCTCCAGGTAGGTGTAGCTATCCTCGCGAATGCTCCAGAAAAAGTGAAAGAAAAGACCCGCGAAGAACGACCCCCCGAACCTGAATTACCAAGACGCTTAACTGGCCCGAGAGACGCCCGCGCCGAAGCGAGAGCTGAAGCCGCTCAGAGGCTCAGGAGAGCTATGAAGAAATTAGAAGAAGAAGATCAGCCCCAGATTGTAAGATTGGGTGATGCGAGTGTGGCCGCACCGTTTACTAGTCGACTGTCGAGTATATTCTGTAGTAAGTTGTATTTTTTTATATTTTGACAGGCTCTTTGGTCGTCGTGGCGTTTTGGCGTCGTGAGTTCGATCCCCACCGTGTCCCAATCAAACGTGTTTCTCATCAATTTATATTTCTTGTGAACTTCGTCTGAAAATTTGGATATGAAATGGGTGATAGGAATATCAAAATACCGAACTACCGTCCACAAACAAGCTGTGTTTCATCGCGTTTCGGTTGCAGTTTTGTGGATTTACGAATATCCTAAGTTAAAATAGGACGACAGCGCATCTTATTGAGATATTATATGGTTGGGTTATTTCACCTACCATCTGTCTCTCTTTAATAATATTGATAGATTCTGCTATACGTTTAATTATCTACAACGTATAAAAAATCTAAGTTTTCCATAAACTACCTGGTTATTTCTTTCTTAATTTGTTGTAAAACTTTTCAGTCTGTCACATAATCAAGCAAGGCCGTTGTACACTCGTAACGACATTACAAATGTTCAAGATACTTGCTTTGAACGCGTTGATATTGGCCTACAGTCAATCTGTATTGTATTTGGACGGGATAAAATTCAGCGACACACAGGCGACTCTACAGAGTCTGTTATTGGCGTCATGTTTCCTCTTCATATCGCGGTCTAAAGTAAGTTGAATTTATAATGATTTGTAATTCTTTAATTCCGTTAATCTTTATTTAAAAGAAGAAAAAAAGCCGTGAGGTTTGAATCCCGGGAAGAAATAATGTTTCAGTCGGATAAGACACAGAAATCTGATCTACTACTTGCCAAAAAATTGATACATTTGTTTCGGACACAATTATGTTGGCCCCGTGCCTTCAAAAGGGGCTGTTAGACTTTTTATTCCTGCAAAAATCTAAACAGAGAACGAAATAAAAGTTTATAAGCGATGAAAAATGTCAGGAACTAACTGTTGAAACTCAAATATACATTTATATAAAATAATAAATAAATATATATTTACTATTTTACATAGAAACAATTATGTAATACCAACATAATACAGTATAGTAAAGTACAAGTAATATACAACTAAGTGGTAACTTCCTAACTATACTCTGAATTACAATATTCAAATTTATTTCTAACATGTGTTATTATTATTTTCAGCCGCTGAAACAACTATCAAAACAACGTCCGCTACCAAATATCTTCAATATGTACACAGTCATGACTGTCCTTACTCAGTTTGCGGTGCATTTTGTTTGTCTCATATACTTGGTGCGAGAGGCCACGCTAAGATCACCAGACAGGTAACTTCTCTACTAAGTTTTCTCTTATTGTACAAAATATGTTAACTTAATCAAAGGACGAAAGGTAAACTTAAGCAAAATTATAAAAGGGTTTTCATAGACATCAAAATGCTACAGGCCAAACAAAATGATACATATTTTAATTTTCACAATTAAATGCTTACAAAGCAACGCTTTTAAAAGTATTTATGAAACGCACAGAATTCGAACCAAACGAAAAACGAACAAAATCCATTTGTAATATACAGTATGGTTATACATCGTTGAAGATGCCGCCACTTGCACACACATTATTTTGCTAAAATAAAATAAAAGTAATCTGTTAAATCTCCCTGTTCCTTAATTCTTTATAATATTAACAGAGATCCCACGCCAAAGTTGGATATGGACCTAGCTGAAGATGAGGAGCGTCCCTTCCAGCCAGATCTTCTGAACAGCACCGTATATATCATATCCATGGCTCTGCAGATATCCACTTTTGCTATTAATTATAGGGTATGTATTCTAGTGAAAATTGACAAAAATTTGAGTTATGGGGATATGATAACTTATCTAAGAGAAGATTGAATACGTGTAATGAGATTCTTGGAGTGCTTTTCTATAGCTCCAACTTCTCAAATTCAGGTTATGAAATACCTTGCGCATCTCCACTCTTCTTCTATCCTTCTATCCATTTGAAAAGGCTCCTTTAGAAGCATTTTCTGTCCATTAAATATCCACCTGAATAAATTGGTGATCTATTCATTTTCTAACGTTTTTCTTCATAAGTAAGCCTGTGTTTCCCTGGAAAAGTTTTGTAATTGTGTGCGAGTGTTGGTTTAATACTTTTAAGATTGTTGATTTTGTATACATTTCCCGTAAGCTTTTTCTTCTTTCATATTGCATCTTGGGTTGCCTGAAAGAGATCGCTTGTTAGCGATAAGGCCGGCCATTGCACTCCATATTTTTAGTTTATTTTTCTCTTTTCGTTAAGTTGGTAAATAAATAAATATAATGTCTCAAATCTTTGAAATCTGTCTTTATATTGAAAAACTCAACTTTTAATAAGCCCTACGAATATGTATGACCATTAAAAAGTTTCGATCGACACAATGTTTAGTTTTATAAACGTAATCATTGTCTTGCAGGGTGAACCGTTCATGGAAGGTCTTCGTGATAACAAACCACTATTATACAGCATAGTGATCTCGGGGGGTGCTGTACTGGCGCTCGCGGCGGGTATATTCCCTGATTTGAGCAACCTATTCGAAATTGTTTACTTTCCACCAGAGGTGAGTATTGCTAATTATAAAGATATTTTTAACTTTTATTTGAAAAGGTGTCAAAGATTTACCTAGAACTCTTTTGGGTCTTGTTAAAACTACTATTTTTTTGCAACTGCCAAATGGCCGACGGTCTTATGCTATCTCGATCATATGTACGCTCCGTCTCTCTCGCACAGCGCGGTACTTGCTTACAAAATAAATAGATTTGTTAAGTCTTCCAATTAAAATATATTATTGTTTTCAAATAAATAATAATAATTTTAAAGTGTGCTATTGTAAAGATAGGTAACTGAATAATTAGATTTTTTTATTGGCGTCATTAACAATTAGTTTCTCTAACACCACGAGTTATAAAAGTTGGCTTTGTTCTAATAACAGTGTATTCTATTTCAGTATCGTCTAATCGTAGTGCAGGTGTTAATAGAAGACATGCTGTTTGCGTATCTCGCTGACCGGGCATGTCTCTGGCTGTTCGGTGAGGGCCGCGCAGGCGCACCTACGTAGCGCTGATTGTGTAGCGACATTCCCTGTGTCAAGTATTTTGTTTGCGTATTTTGTATACCCAATCCATACTATATGTATGAATTGGGTATAGCGCCACCTGGTGATAAATAGTGTAGATGGATTTTTTTGTATCCGGGATAAAATTATACACAATGAATTTTCAAATATGTTTTGTTCTTGTCTATTGATTATAAGATAGTTCTATTATATCTAAAGAACTAATTGTTCCTTTTCAAATAATATATTATAAAAGATGCATTATCTCAATTATTTGGTAATGTCAAATCGGTGTTGCATATACATGCTATTGTTTTTTCGAATGTGCTGTCAGCCTATTTTTTCTGAGGGTTACGGAATGTAGATTAAAGCGCAAGGTATAGATCATGTTCGTACTATTTCATGAGTGAAGGTTTCATACAAATTATAGTTAACATTGACGCTCAAAACTTGACACAGATTTCGTGCAATCTGCGAAGTCTGCGAAATTGTGTTCCTTTTAATTAATACATTCAATTAGTATTTATTTCTAGTGAAGTTTCCTCAAGTGCACTTATTTCCGTTGCAGTGTAATATTGCAATAAGGCTATCCGCTACTTGTTCACGTGTTACGAAAACTCTATTATTATTGAAAAAATTACTACCGACTTGAATAAAATTTGATCACCCGAATAAAAAAATAAAAAGAATTGTTTTGGGAGCCAAGACCCACTTTGAGTTGCTGCACCACTGGAGTATGTATGTTAGTTTAAAGTTTGGACCCTGTGCGATTTTCAGTTTTTTAAACTAAGATTTCATATTTAAACAAAGCACTTATGATAACTCGAATTTAGCTAGCTTAGGATTAAAAAGAACGCATTTCGTGGATAACTAAGATATAAATTGTATGGAGATAAAAATATTTTGTATTCTACCCTCAGGGTATACGATCTAATGTAGAACTACCCGCTCAAATAAGACGTGCATTTATGTGTGGATGTGTATGTATTTTATTTATGGTATTAAACATGTAGTTAATATATATCGTGTTTCTTTTCCTTCAATTTATATAGAATGTTATATAAAAACAACTGATCTATTTGTTCGCGATGCATGACTCGACGTAATAACGATATCGATAGAAAGTGTCAGAAATAAAACCAGTCTCGCAATATGTACACATTTAACTTAGGCTTACTAACTATTGGTATTTTCACAAGTGGCCATAAATAAAAGAGGCTTGCGCGAAAAAACAATAGTTCTTTAGTCTATGTTGTACAGGTCCGTGTTTTTAGCGTCTGTAGTGTCCGTGGCCTCCTAGATTCCATCCGCCAAGATGGCCGCTGTAGCCCAAGTCGTAACCGCTGTACCCGTGGTTGTATCCGTGTCCACCCCAGTTGTCGTAGCCAAGATTGCTGTATCCAACATTGTAGCCAATGTTATCATAACCGATGTTGGAAACGGCGGTTGCGATGGGCGCGGCGTGGGCGACCTCAGCGACGACCGGTGTGGCGACTTGTGCGACGACAGGTGCTGCGACTTGTGCGACGACCGGTCGGATGACTTGCGGGTGTGCTGCGTGGCCGATTCGTCGCACGACAGCGTTGAAGCCTGATACCGGGTCAGCGGTGTAGTCTACTACTCTTATGGTGCCGTCGGGCTCAGCTAGAGAGTAGGAACCTTTGACGTAGCCTCCTTCACGGGTTTCCGATTGTTGCTTGTTGTCACCCGTTACCGGGTCATTGACTGCATAATTAAAGTTGTAGCGAGGTACGGACTGTAATCAATTACTTAAATCAACTTACAAGTGCATAATTAATAGCTACTATACTATCAAAAAGGTAGAGTAGTAAGGGCGAAGACTATACTTAATATAAAAAATTACATCAGATATTTATTAAATTATAGTCTGATCAAGTTGGCAAAGAAATCGCCATTGACCCTAAATTGATACTGGCATTTATTACTAATTTAATGAAACTAATATTAAGCAATTAAAGAAGGAAAATTCGCAATAATGTCGTTACAAGTTTTTGACGAGTTGTTGCTATAATAGGTAGAACGCAAACGCAAATAATCAATGGGACGTGGGTTAGATCACTACCAGTTCCAACGTGGTTCTAATGAATTTGCAATTTTCCTAAAACATGTTCGATCATCATGGTCGATCGCGTTTCGCTTTCAGTCTGTGGATTTCCGTATATCCAAAGCCACAATAATCGACAGCGAGTCTTGTCTAGGTGTGTGGCTGGGGTAATTCTACCACTATTGAACACCATGCCTGTCTGTCGTCCTCTGTCATAAAATACTTACTACTGTGTCATAGGTTGTAACAGCTCCAATGGCAGCTCCGTATGGTGCTGCTGATGTAACCGCGACGAGGCACGTAACCTAATAACACAGACGCAAACAGACACTGATTTAGCATGTTTTCCAACAGTTACAAATAAGGCAGAAATTTTCCCGCTTCCAATAATTCTTACCGCGAGTAACGAAAACATTTTTCACTATTTCCACAAGTCACGTTACTAAACGCACAATTGTAATGTGCTGTGTTATAACAGTAGTCCGGTTTTATACTAGTTTCAGCTCCTCGTTGGTTAATCCCTGACTATCCTTTGTTCACGCTTATTGACTATTCGATATATCGTAATGTCAATTGAGTTGTTTTCAATGTAGAAATGTTCTACGCCTAGGGCCTGCTAGATCTTGCCCACACCTGGATCTCCTTTTGTTCTTGATCATGAAAACGAAATGGCATGGGGCGCGCACAGATTTATGTGCCCACATACATAAATCTGTGTCCGTTCTACTGATCGATTTTATTTACAGGCAAATCCCGGTTATTAAATATATACAAACTATTATTTTTTATATATTTAATATGTATGTCGAACCTAGGACCTCTCGTGCTTACCGCAATGCTAGGCAACATTTTAACAATTTAGCGGCAGAGGTCAACTTCGGCTTAAGTTACTAAAAAACAATTTGGATTAAGTCAATTTTACGTCGTTTCTATGACCAAACAAACACACTCACGTTGCAGATAGTACTATCTTGCATATACCAGTTAATACTTGGAGCAAGCTAAAATAGGTCAACAGTGCATCTGAATTAGATGCTATAGAGTTGACTTATTTTTAGAAGCTTGCAATTTTCAGATCTAAAAAAAATGCTGAAATTAAAATTACGAACTCATGCGCAGTACAGAACCTCTGCGCCACGGCAGTATACGAAATAGTTGTTCGCGTGATAGATACGCAATCTGCAATTAACACTTTCGCACCTTTTATCGAATATAATTTGATTAGAGCTTGTCCGAAATAATTAGTGATTTATTCTACGTCTATAGTCGCAATAATACAATTTGGCGTGGCAAGTCTTTGCAAACCAATTAGTGAATTAGGTTTCTGCGTTATGAAAGTGTTGCGCAAATATCACTCAATGAAATTATTCATTTATTCGAAGTTTCAGTGGCCGATATAAATTATGCGTTGTAATAGTAGAATCGTTTGCAACCGCTTCTTACTATTTTAATTCAGCGTTTTCATTAGCTTGCTACATTTATAGATTGAGTGAAATTGCTAATAAGTCATTATCTACATACGGTCTGTAGTTTACGCCAGTCGTACCTATTAAATAAAACACTTTAACGGTGTAAAACGCAATATATATTAGATAAACTTTTTTGAAAATTATTTTAACTACGGTGCTTTGCAGCAGTTTTAGTCACTGGGAAATCCATAACCATGGCTGCTAAGCTTCACTAATAATATCGCGTTTTATAGTGTTTTATTTAAAACTAATTATCTATTGGTCATTGTTTAAGATTGTTTGGCGAAAATCCTTTATACTTGCGAGTGTAACATTTATCAAAGTTATCTGTACTATACTTAAACTAACTCCAAGTACACAATGTGGTTCTTAACAAGCGTGCTATACAAATCAAATTAAGGGTCCTCTTGTTTTAAAGGTGGTTAATCAAGAATAGAACAGCTTTCTATCCACGCATACGGCACCATCGTTATTGTACTTTATTGTAGATCCGGCAATTGCATTCAAAGGGACACCACTTACCGTTTCAGCAAGTAAATGAATTCTAGTCTATGTAAAGGTTGTAGGAATTTAGGCTTATTTGGAATCCTCTTTCTCGCTCTACTCTCCACCTCTTTAGAACCTCTATCTGTTTCTTCCTACTGTAGCTTAAATACAATTTTTAGGTTATTGGTTTTACTTTTAGGATAATTTCGCGTTCAGATCTTCGGATATACTTATATGACATATAAGGAAGGATATACTTATATGAAATATAATGCCGTATCTTTGGCGTAACTTAGACCCTGAGACGTTCGTCAAAAAGTTTAAAAAGTACTTATATGTAAAACTACATGTCAACTATGTTAGGCACGCATCGGCTTAACGTCGCCTCGTTAAACGAACTCATCTTTAGACGTCAAAAGACGCGGCATACGAAATAGGAGTGTATAATTAAGCAATTTGAGCGGGCGAATTGTAATGTACACGATGCAATTGCAACTAATTCGGCTTCCCTCGACCGCCTCATTACCTCTTTTCAGTGGAAACACTCTTTCCACTCAGACACACAAATTCACATTTGCAATCAGTGCTCGGAGAAAAGTTGGAGCCACCCCGCAGCCCGCAGCCGCGCCCCCCCACCCAGCGCCGCCTTTAATTAACAGAAAGTGGTTCATTAGAGCTTATTCATTAAAGCAAGGAGTAATTAGCGAACTCTAATGAATGCTGTAATAATGTAAGAGCGGCCGCCGCGGACTGCGCCCGACTTCTAGATTAATCTAGCCAAGTATAATTTAGTAATGGCGTTAATTTATTAGCGTCTGATTGCGGGATAAACGACCTATTAAAACTTCGCCCGTGGACACGGGGGTACGTTCGCTCGTTATGCAAATCGATACGTAATTGGAAACTATTTAACGGTTTCTAGTATTAGATAATTGCGCGGTAACTTCGTAACTGATATGTTAATTGAAATTGGTGATTTATTGGAATTCGGTGCTGCACGGTTATGTTTGGGTGGAGAAGTTAACATACGAGAATATATAATATAAAGTAGTTTGGAATTGGCAGTCTTTTGAGTTCCGTCTTCAAAGGGTAAAAATGAAATCTGTGTTTCAAGAAACACGATAGCTGGACTGTTTTACTTTTTTGTTTTGTTCACACAAAAACTCAACCAGTAACTAAATAAATATAATAGAAATAGAAAATGATAAAAATAGAAAGAAGCCTCTTTGACGCTGATACTAAGTTTAATAATAGAAAACATTTAAAATATAAAGTTTTAAAATCAAAAATTATGATATCACGATTAAAGATATGTTTCCTTATAATAATATCTCGGTTATAGATCAATGAACACGAAAACTATAATTTTTACACTTGTTAATTTAATGCATTCCTTAAAACAAGTCTCAACTGTGCACTTTCGTTCACACAGTTATTTCAATTTCTACTTCTGATTTTAAAGCTATCAAATACATATTTACCCAAAGCTGCATTTTAAGAAAAAATCGTTATAACAATTTAAAACTTAGTTGACACTGGCTGGACTCGAATCTAAAATCATAACGTGCAACACGTCGTGTGAAATAAAAAACTTTAACGGTTTAAAACTCGATATTTGTTAGTTAAACTTATTTTTAACCGTGTCTCCCCGTGACCACGGCTGCTGCAAAGCATTCGAAAAGTCGGGCGTCGTAATTAAAATAATTTTCAAATAAACTTACTAATACATATCGCCATTTAAATCGTTAAAGTGATTTATTTAAATATGCACTACCCGGTTAACGACAGTATGCTGTTGTTATTTTTTAATGCGAATTCTCTTGTTAATTTCTTTTTTAGTACGCGTGTTGTGTTTACATCTAAATTGATCAAATCTTTTCTTGTTAAAAAGAAACTACCCAAGGATTAGAGAGTTCTCTTTGTAAAGGCCATTTTCTTATCTCTCAAACTTGAAACCGGCCTCAAAACCTACCAATTAAGAAGGTCGCAAGTTAGAACAGCAAAATCTAATAAGACATGCACCCAATTAGCATAAGGAAAATAGGTTCATACAGTGGAACGGGTTCCAGCGGCCCCGAAGGCTTGTTACGTTGTTTGGATATTTTTCATGTTCAAAGATGGCTGGACAATGGACATGTACGCATAATGATGTATGCTAACAGGTATATTGTAATATAACCTAATAATATGAGGCTGCTAGAGCCAGAGTGGCCTAATAACAAAAAACATGATTTTCAATAAGGAGGAAATTATGTTAACAATTTTCGGTCACTGTGCTCTTGTGGATTGATATTTTTTTACTGTGAAATTATAAATAACTCAAGTCATAAAATAGGTTTGGCTACTCTCCCCCCCCCGGCCCCCTTTTTTTTTTTTGAGGGGTTTTTTTTTTTTTTTTTCCCGGTTTTTTTTTTTTCCCCCCCCCCCCCCCCCCCCCCGGGGTTTTGGGGTACGAATTCATTGATCAAACATATTATTATTTTTTATGCACCACCCGAACGAAACTATATTTATTTTCATTCAGGATCCCACTTATTGCAATGCTATAAACGGGCCCAATCCGCGAACGACAGGGGTGTGTGCTTAAAACAGTGTCGATTTAACAGTTAAAACAGTAGGCAATTTTTACTGATTTATGGCGTATATGAGTAGTTAAGTATATACCACTAGCTGTGCCTGCGACTTCATCCGCGTAGAATTGTTATTTTGGGTATCAAATTTCTCTCACGACGCGCGTAGTACGAGTGCCGTCGCGTCGTTCTTGCAAGTTATTCTAAAAAATAGACATAATATACTTTCGCGAATTTTTCTTACATCATGAAAGAGTTTTCATGGCCTAAAGCCTTCCTTAATAAATTATCTAACCAACACAGAAATACATTTTTAATTCGAACAATCTATATGGCAGTCTTAGTCTTATATTTTCTTTCTTATAATTAATTATACATAAATTACTATAATACATAAAATAAGAAAATTTTCTTAGTAAGGATACATTTTTCGTTCACAATTTCCGACACTTCAACAAACAAACTTCCAACAGGTAACAAGGTAGACCGAAGCCCGAAGGCTATTGATTAGCGTGCAGTGGCCACCCATCATTCATTCATCGCGTCCAAACGTCACTCCGGTCTCGTGCCGTTTTTCGCCTATTTTCGACACTTTCCGCCGACGCGAGTACATATTTGATGGCGACTGACGAGCCACGGTGCGTTAGGAAGGATGTGACGTCGCTTAATTGGTCTAGCCTGAGGTGCAAACCCTGGATCCTGTTACAATTAATAATTTTAAGAAGGTAAACCTTTGGTATATACATTACTATCGAAAAGGAAATAACTTATTTTCTTTCATTCATCTTGAACCATTCCAAAACAAATAGTCACTTTCCTATTTTATTAGCCTGATTCATAGCCGGGACTCTGATACTCCTAGTGCATACTGTCTGTTGTTAACGCGAGTAATACACATTTAAATAAAACACTTTAACGGTTTAAAACGCGATATAGTTTAGTTAAACTTTTTTAAAATTATTTTTAACTACGGTCTGACGTTTCGGATGTGCAAAGCATCCGTATCTCCAAGTACATTTTTTAGCTTTACGAAGCTAGCTAACGCTACGAAGATGGAGGTAGCTTGAAATGAGATAAATAACACTTCCTAGTTATTAACAAACTCTGCTTAAAGTTATTGCTAAGATGGGTTTTAATAAAATGTAACTGTAAAATGAACACATTTAAAATCCATAGCCTTCCGTGCTGTTGCTCTAACCAATTGAGCTACCTGGTCACAGCACGTTAGCTCAAATAGTTAGTACGTTGACACGGTAGCTCAATTGTTTAGAGCATCAGCTCTAATTTTTCTTATAATTTATATAATGCCTAATAATCATATTTTAATTTATATGTCTAATAACATGTGAAAAATAAAATAAAAATGAAGCATGTTTCAAAATAAATTTTAATTTTGGAATGAGCTTCGCAAATGCCAAAGTTCGACTTATTAATTTGAAATGCCTGTACTTGCGAACCTCTAATACTATCTCTTTTAGTATTGTTATACCATATGGACCTTCGGAGCGCTTAAACAAGACACGGCAGCGTTTGAATTCTATAATTTTCTGAATATTTAAAATCGGTGTTGTTTATTTCCTTTGAAAGTGTTTACTCAGCGAAGCGATCATACGACACGATAATCCAATTGTCGCAATGTCCAAAACTCGTGTTCAATACGTGTGCAGTGCTTTGAAATGGAAAAATCTCATGCTTACTCTATCGTTATTTAAGTATTTTCGATGCTAACATTTTGCATAAATTCATTGTAATTTTATGTGGATAGATAAGCTTCTTTATGTGTTACCTTTATTCTTTGAGTTGTTCGGTGTTCCGTGCTGATGCTCTAACCAATGGAGCTACTGTCGATTTTCGGTGGGGTGTAGCACGGAACGCTGACGATGCCGGTTCAAGCCCTGCGCGAGTCGACAATTTCATTATCAATTTATTCTCTTTTTTAATCTATATCGTGTTAATGTTGTACATTACAAAAAAAGTTACAAAAAAAGGGCTACATTAAGCCTTGTTTACATAATCAATTTGCAATTTTAAGCAGTGGACGCCATCTGGTTTCTTGCTTCTTAATTCAATACACTGTATTGCGTTTTTCTTAACCCACCGCGGCGACCCAGTATTAAATTATAATAAAATTAATTTTATTCGAATGTTTTCATTTTAACCTCATTTGCCGAAACGGCATGTCGTTTTGACAAAACTGTATTCCGAAATGGGCTTTAGACTTTATTTACATTCTTTGCCTTTTACGTTTAATTTATTGCTCTATTGAAGTATAATATATGTCGACTTTAACGTAATGATCGTTGTAACTGTCGATTTTGCTCAGAGACTTTTTAGAGGCGTTTCTAAATAATCTTACACATTAAAATAAAGTTTAAAATACGTAAATAAAACACTACAGTCTCCCCGTGGCCACGGCTGCTGCTAAGCATACGAAATAATTTTCAAACAAGTTTAACTAATATATATCACGTTTTAAACAGGTAAGGTGTTTTATTTAAATATTTTATTATAGTTAAAACAAATTAAAAACAGTTACCTGACGTTCTAAGTGTAGACTTCACGCGTATGCTACAGACGATACTTTACTTAATATTTGTAATGTACACAATTTTAGATAAAAAAAAATATTATTGCGGTAGTTGTTTTGCAAGTTACAGGACGTGAGTTTGACTCCTAAATTTTAAAACTGCCATAATTTATCCTGCAAGAGACTAAGAGCCCACAGAATATATTAGAGATTATGGTATATATGTTTAGAAGTCTTGAACCGGCATCTTTATAGTGAAGCGAATGTACACAAAACTACCAAAATATAAGCGCACTTTCTTAGGATAAATCTATCCGTTTTAAAAAAAATCGTTTAATGGTTCAATATTTCAAAGGCGAATTCAAGGGTGAAAATTAAAACAACGGCTAATTTACAAAATTTAATTTCTCCTGTCGCCGTACTTAGGCTAGATGCAACTTTTGTCTGTATTATGTTAAACTGGTAACACCGTAATATCTACGTGTATTTGCTTATTAACAAGAAGATACTTTGATCGATTCGAAATTTAAACAAATGGCAAGAGTCACTAAACGCTAACATGTACATGCGTGGGTAGTTTGATAATGTACAAAGTAGTTATGTTTACTATCAAAAATGAAGCTAATATTGCTCTTCTAACAATCTAGAGTTAAGATGATAAAACATGTTAGTTTAAAATTTGGCTCAAAACGAGCAATTAAAAATTGCTTCCAGCGCCATCTAACGTATGAATCTCAATATTTCTAAGGTTTGGGAACAAATCAGACTCAAAAAAGTCCAAGATGTGTTTATTGTTTTCATAAATACCTAAGGAATGTTAGCGTTTATTACTTAAGTTATTGTAAATATTTAAAATTTGATTTTATCAACACATTATAGTAGAAAGTAGTATAATATATACAGATTAGTAACTCGTTAATTTCAATGATGTTGGCATCCGAATTATTGCTACTTTGCTGCTTATAGGTACAAGATGTGTCTACTTATGACTAAAATAGCTATTCTAGTATGTACAAATTGTTAATACAAACGCTAATCAAAGTTAAAGTAACAGCTCGTTGATTAAAAACGAAATAACAATTCGAGAATTATTTACATAGATTGGAAATCACAGAATTGCGCTGAGAATTAAATACAGAAGGTACTCTCACTGGCAAGAATAACATTTTTGAAACCAATATTATAAATATGTGTAGACGAATATTTTCAATGACTACCTTATTCATGTGACAATGCAGACAGTCGTTCCGTCTCTCTCTGTTGAATACAGTTAGAGAGAGACAAGACAACTTGGGAGTAAAACTAGATGGATACTGCCGGTATGAATAAAGATGTAAATGTTTTTTTAAATATTACACTTTAAACGGTTAAAATATGACATATATTAGTTAACTTATTTACAATTTATTTTAACTACGGCCCGACTGTTTAGGTGTTTAAGTAGTACAATAAAAATAAATTAACAATCGATTTTAGATTGAAAAAAAAAAACACCATCACATTTTGGAGACGCTAGCTTAATTAAAACAACAGCACAGACCGCTGTGGATGTCGGTTCAAATCCTGCCAGTGTCGTAATTTTTTTTAAAAAAAAACGATTTTTAATTTATATAACGCCATCATGTGTAGTAACATGTGAAAAATATTGAAGTTTTCAAATTGTAAATAAGTTAACTAATATATCACGTTTAAATAAAACACTCTAACGGTAGAAAACGCGATATATTAGTTAAACTTATTTGAAAAGATTTTAAACGTCGGCCCGACGTTTAAGAATCATTTTCAAATAAGTGTTAGGGGAGACTAATATATCGCGTTTTAAACCGTTAAAGTGTTTTATTTAAATGTGTACTACTCGCGTAAACTAGACAGTATTGAATATATCACGTTTTAAACCGTTAAGTGCTTTATTTAAACGCGAACTACTCGTGTAAATGTCTTCACCGCAATCAGACGAAGGTTTCTTAGTACATATCGATGTTAAACTTAAAACAAGTCAACTTTAATACGTTAACATGAGCCTACTTTACGCGTAGTAAACAGTTTTACATTTTAAGAATAATGACTGAATACTATCAAATACTTTTGTTCGATAAACTGTTTTAAAAATACACGGTAATTAGGGAAAATTACAACAAGCGCACCAATATCTCATGTAAAGTATTAATATTAAGATATGCCATTTCATTCAATTAATTATCACTTCAAGACAACAACACGCTTGTGTTTAACACATTTCTTACGATTCTAAGTACGAGAATCGAATGATTTAGCAGACATTAGATAAATTGCGAATTCACAACCAAAATTAAATACCAGTACAACCGCTATATTCAACATGTGTGCGAATGTACTATTACAGTAGCGAAGGGATAGTACAATTCACATTTGCGCATCTATGAAATGTTACATATAACACGCTGACATGCTGTAACCATAACTTATGGCGTGGGGGAGGGGTATTAGTACTTTTTCAACACATACTATAAGAAGTATTTAAATTTACAATGACCTTGTAGCCATGGATAAGGCATTTAATCAGAATAATCTTATTGCAGGATTCCCAGGGGGTGAGGGGGGGGACCACACGTACTTCCGGTACGCCCATGCCTAAAACAATGGTTTACAGAAAGCTCCTCCAAAAGTTTAAGTATTAGACACAAACGTTACAACACAAGTCGATCATGAATGTTACGTTACATGTTACATTACATAGCGCACAGGGCTTTCGACTATGTTGAATTATGATTAAGCCGATATCGTTCTCAATATCAACTGAAGTTCAAAGTCTTTGCACAACACTGTCACTCGGACTCTTCGTCACTGGGTTTAGGTTTGAACGTCGTCAGGTCTAAGGCTGGCTCGGTGCTCTCCTCTGGCACTGGTCTGAAGCCGTGGTGAGGTCCTGGCTGGTCCATGGAGGGAGGCGTCCAGCAACCAGCAGATTCGGGCTTGAAGTTGTTTGCACTAACGTACGAGCAGGCCATCATCTGAAACAATTATATTAAGATTATTGTCTATATATGATAATTTACAAAATAATACACATCCCATCAATAATTTATTCCACACCAAATAATTATATAGACAAGACCTATGTAGAAATTGTACAATGATATAAGAAAATACATTTATGGGTTACAATTTCTTAATCTTTCATTCGATTTGCGCGTTCGAACAAACTCTTCAGCTATTAATGTTAGTATAGTTTATTCTTAGCGAATCGTATACCTTGTAGGATAGTAAGTGTAACTTACAAGTTAAAAAGTCCTTGCAACTCATATTAAGTTGTATAGAAAAGAAAACAAGCAATCTAACATAGTGTAGCATAATAATTTAGAGGGGCAATTTGGCACGTCAAAGATGATCTTTATGTATATTGTGAACGCAATCTCCGGGAGTAGATTGGAGTAGAACAGAGGTTACATAAATAATGAAATATGTAGGTGGCTATTATGAGATGAGGAGGCCTAAAGAATTCGCGAGTGGTTCCCAACTCCTCTAATCAGGATAATGGCCACGGAAGGAATGCTAATGTGGAGTGCATGTCTTATTCTATCAAGACAAATAAATACTTATACTTAATTCCTTGACAATGAAATTCTTCAATCATGAAAGTTGCAAGAACGTGTAAACTGGTTTAGTAGGCGTAGTCTGTAATTCCGCGAGTAGTACACATTTAAATAAACCACTTTTAATCGTTCACAAAATGTATTAACTGATTTACAATTAATTTAACTATGGATCGACGTTTCGGATGCTTTGCAGCAGCCTTGGTCACGGGAGGAGTGAAGATAGTGTCCCTAATGTCAAAGTAAAAACTGCTGCGCTAGCGCCATCTGTTCCGTCGTAGTTGGCATTTGGCGAAACTGGCTCTCGCGTATCACGGTTTTATATCTTCACGCCGTTCTCCGTATTTCCATGAAGAGACAAATTAATTAACTAATATATTTCGCATTTTTAACCGTTACAAGTGCTTTATTTAATCTGTTCCATCTATGTAATGTACCAGATAATACACATGTTTCGAAAGACATGCGCAAAAAGACCTCCAAACCGAAGTTATCCCGGAAAAAAAGGATTCCTAACAATATATAGACTGAATAGACCATTATAACATTTTCATAGTTGATGTCGCGAACAAAGGTGGCACACAATTGGCAATAGTTCGCGGAAACAGCTGCGCGTATAGCGAGTGTTCTAACAATGATATCGTAACTTTAATATTTATTGCACTTGATGAACTCAGCGCAAGTTAGCAAGTAATAACCCACGTCGAGCGTATACGGGAATAATCGCGACTACGACAATAGCGTCTTAAAAAGGCGCAAGCGTCTTTCGCGTCAAAGTGCTTCAAAACAATGCGCAAGACGTAATTAAGCCGGCGTTAGTCTTAAAGAAGTAGGAAATCACGTAGATGTTAGGGAAGAGTTGAGAGTCTAAAATGACACGGAGAACGAAGAGTATGGTGGACCCAACGAGGGCAAGAAAACGAAAGTCACGCACATAACTAGATAGATTTTTGAACGTTTATTATGTATCTTGGCTAGGTTGCCCCCAAGGATGGATCCAGCTTTGGCGCCAGGAGGGGGTCACAGTCGTATTTAAGTCAACCTTTAATTTAATTTTGATAACAATAAAAACAAATAAAATTTAGGATAACGTTTATACGTAACGTAAACGTGTTTCAAAATATTCATTATTTGTTGGCCTCAGCTTGGACTACCCCAATGTAGATGGGAGCTTCAGAAGCTGGACGGAAGCTTACCCAAGCGAGAGGACACCATAGTCTAAAATAGAAAGTAGAACTAGAAAAAAGAGTGGAAAAGAAAAGAGATCATCGCGTCGTTAGGGTGTATATCACACTTTTGGAAATAGCTGTATGTACTTTTTTCGTGTTAGTCTAGTATAATTAAATTATGTTTCTAAGGTCGGGAGTTTGAGCCAAACTTGCACAAAAAAAAAATTTTTGTCTACACTCCGATGGAAAAGCATGCGTCCTTTACCAAGCCTTAAGGCCTATATACTCAAGGCCCAGTCCCAACTGTGGGATATTAAGTTATACTGGTGCACATAACGCTTCAGCTAATATGTTTGAGCGTAGCCATAGAGGCCTAAACTCTCCTACGAGAATAAACAATCGCTACGGGCGGTTCGTCGTCTCACAAATGAATTAGTGGCGTCCCCCCGCGGTCCGCCCGGCCCGTGTGGGGGGTCATGTTGCGATTAAAATATAATTAGGCGCCCAGCAATTGTTTCGCCATCGAGCCAGGTGGCGCGGCCCGCTACGTAAATTAAATAGCCGTATAGAGTTTCCAATTATACTGGACCCGACCGCGGCCAGCGCTTATTGTCTAATAATGCGGGAACAATATGAGGATCTTGTAGATTAATTATAACCGGAGTCCGCAGGAAGCAGTTGGCATTTGATTGATACACTAGGTAACGGGGGTCGATAACGCACGTGTAACGCGATATTAATTACGATCGCTGAGACACGGCGATAAATCACGCTCAACTAGTACTTTCGGCAATAATGAATTCAAACGGGCCGTAATTGCTAGAGGTGGGCTATCTGTGGTTGTAACCGAAACCGAATTTTGGGTAAATGTTCGGTTCATAAATTAAGTTTTCAGTACTTTCATACTTGAACAATGATTTTAATGATTTCGACCAGTATAGAAAGCATTTTCCATATTCACGTATAGCTAATAATCAACGCATAGTGGGTACGATCCCCATCAGGTCCAACAAAACTTATTTTCCTAACGGGTCAAACGCAGAGTGTAAATATAATGATTACAATTGATTTGTTAGAAATTTGGCTCTTTATCCAAAAAATTATTATATATGGGGTATTTTATCTTAGCGGGTCAAACGCAACCTCGAGCCCCTTTTGATAAAAAAAAATATACAATTATTTTACAATAATAATCATTTACATATTGAAATAAGTCTGGAACTGTTGCCTTCAAAATCCACAACGAAAATAGGCCAATCAAGTCAAAAATAGACTAAGCCATAAGATGTAATCAATGGGTTAAACAGCTTTTATCTTTTATGACAACAGATTAACCTCATGGAAGGTGAACTTCCTTATCGTTAAAAAATGTATATAACGCAATAATTTTTCAATTATAGACGAGACACTTAATTTATACTTAACTATGCATTAACTAATGTTTTAGTCACCCAGTACAGTAAATTTGGACCGGAAGTCGGCATTCGAAGCCGAAATGCGGATAAGCCGAATAGGGGCTGCATTGGCCCTTCCCTAATAATTGCGTACCTAATTACGGGTGGACGGGCCTTAATTTATCACTGTCGGATTATGAATTAGAAATGGCGTTAATTAAACATGTATAATATTCGTGGGCGAGGCGTATTGTCGCGGCCGGTGCCGCGGGCTGCGAACAATTAGGTTTCAAACTAATACGGACGCTATTGAAACTTAGCCGGGCGTGTGCTATTCTCTGTGGGAACAGTCGACAGTGCGGGCTCTCCGTGGAAATTATCTGTTTGTGTTTGGAATTTGAGTGTTTTACATGATTTATCAATTAGACGGGCTTTGTATGGAATGCGGAATGTTATTTGTATTTATTTGAGATTAAACGGAACCACGTTATAGGTTTTATATGAATTATATCAACTTCTGTGCACTATATTCAACATTTTTTCAAGACGTTCCTTGTTACGTCGTGGAACCAATCGTGTCCAGCAAGTTTTTTTTTTTTTTTTTAACAATACAGAAACGTGTATCTCTTTGTATTTCTCTATTTACTTCTTTAGTTGTGTCTGTAACTTATCTAAGAGCACGCTTTTAAATAAAACACTTTTTAACGGTTTAAAACGCGAACTACATTAGTTAACTTATTGAAGTGGCGAGGACCACGGCTGTTTAGTAGCAGCATCCCGTCGGACCGTAGTTAATAAAATTGTAAATAAGTTGACTAATATATTTCGCGTTACAAAACGCTTTGTCAATTATGGTTATATTTCTTGTCTAGACGCAAACCCTACATATATTGACATTACTAGAGGTAAACCATTTCATTACACGCTTAATTTAATTAGTCAAGCGAGTCGGGCCGGGTTGGGTCGGTCACGTCGATATAATTTGGTGAGGCATTCTTTATAGTTCTTAATAAACGGGCAATATCTTCAATTGCTAAGACAGAGTGGTTGTAGTATAACTTTAATTCAGGTGACATTGATTTGCGAATATAAATAAAACATTTTAACGGTTTTAAACGCGATATATATTAGTTGAACTTATTTGGCGATTATTTTAACTACCTACGGCCCAAAGTTTAGTCTCCCCGCGACCGCGGCTGCTGCAAAGCATCCGAAACGTTGGGCCGTAGTTAAAATAATTTCCAAATAAGTTTAACTAATATATATCGAGTTTAAAGCCGTTTACAGACAGTTTTTATTTGTGATTTTTTTATTAATATTCGAATTGTAGAAGTAGGACTTTTCACGTGTTACTTAAGTGGCTTGGCAGAATGGGCCTTTACTGGTTCTTCGTTTGTCCCAAAATTAATTTTATTTAATTTTCATCGTTATGTTAAATCCTTTATCATTTAAATATAATTTAATATTAACTTTACACCCGAATATGCAAATACTGAGACTGCTCTACACAGTAGAAGTACTCAAATTTCGGTCATTAAGCTGCAGGACCGAGGTCAGATCTTGACCATGGCGAAGTTTGTTAATGACTTTCATTGATTACTCATAGTGGGACCTTAGAATTTCAAAGTAAAACATTTGATATTATATAATAAATATATAGAGGTCTATATAGGGATATGTATATATAAATATTTTTTTATATGTTGTCACACCTCGGTGAAATGTGCTTACATAAACGAAAAAACATGATAAAAAAAATACATCGTTTCCAGTACCAATATAAATAAATTTATTTTGTTATGTTTTAAGGCATAAAAAATACTGAGTTATCTATTTCTAAGAGCAAAGTTTCTGAATAAAGTTTTTTTAGGTCACTATTTAATTGTAGCCTAAAATGGCTACTAGTTATGCTTAAGTTATATTTCAAAACCACATTTTACCACGATTAGTTTCAAACTATTGCGTTAGTAAGCGTTTATGAGATATCTCAACATGCGTTCAGCTTCGTATTGAATAGAAAACGGTTAGACGCGTACAATGGCCCATACCCCATCGGTATTCCATTAATAGTTCTGCAAACATATCCGACGCATCCCCCGAATAAAGGCGCCCGTACACTCGGTTGGTAGTCAGCCAAATTGTTTGTA